CCTTAATAAAGCTTAACTCTTAGAAGAAGAATAATATTATAGTATAAAATCATATAGTATATTGATTTTATTAAATAGAATTAAAATAAGTACTTGTACTGAAGTATAAGTAAGCTAGGGCCTGATTGGGCTAGCTTGCTTATAAAAATTCTATATATTTTTAATTAGGAAGATTCTGTATTATAACTCTTCGAGCTATATCTTAATCTTTAATCCGAATCTATTATCTGAATCAATATAACTTTGCCAAATTAGGGCAAAGTTACTAGAACCCTATTATTGCCTGCCTGCCCCGTGATATTTATTATCAAATAAAATATTAATAATTTGTAGATATATTAATATTAGAAGTTGATTAATCAAAATCAAAGGATTGATATTTATTTGAATTAAGAATTAAATAAGGGATTTCGATTCTCATAATCCTTCATCTTTTGAATACTTAATTAAAAAGCAGTGAAATTTGATCTTTTTTGAATTAATTAATTATATATATTGAGAAAAATAATCTTTTTAGTAATATTATTTCTTTAATTATATATAAGTTTATAGTGTTAGTAGAATAAATATCTGAATTATTTTTATACTCCCTATATATAATTTGAATAATATTATTAATATACTTATATTTTATACTTTCTAATTGATTATTATAATTATTTTGTATTATTAGAATAGAATATATAAATTTCTTTATCTGATTAATTCATTTTTAAATTGAAATTCAGTTTTTTGCTTTTAAAATCTTTTTAGAATATAAAGTTTTATATATAATATAACGTATGGGGAACTCGGATATATGGAGAACTCGGACACTTTTTCAATTATTCTATATACGATTTTATTCTATAAGCTATATAATCCTTTAATTCCAATTCCGAATTACTTGAACTATTCTTTAGCTTTTCTTTTTTAATCTTTTCTTCTAATTCTTTAATTAGGTATTTGTGTAACTATTCTTGTGGCTTTTTCTTCTTTTGTTTTTTTTTTATTTTATATATTATTTTCAATATTTTCTTAGTATTAAAGACAAATTGATTTTGTAATTTGATTTTTTTGTTTTTAGTTTTTTTCTTTCGAATTTCAATTATCTTTTGAATATCAAAGAGCTATTTCTAAAATAGAACTATTTTAATATTTTGAGATTCTATAAGTTTAGTTATTTTTTTAGTATATCAATAAATTAGTGATATAGGAGAATCACTATTTACTAAAACTATATTAAAGATCTAATTTGCTTACCTTAATTTTATTCTATTTGAAAAAGAACTTCTAAATATAAACAAATCTAGGTCTTAATTAGGGATTCTTATTTATAAAATAAAAGATTACTAGGAAAAATTAAATAATAATAAATCGAGTACTTTTTGTAAGGTAAAAGGTATTAAATTAGTTTCTTTTTAGTTAGCTTTAATATTAAAAGAATTCAATGCTTTTTTTCTAATATTTTGAAAGAATTCTATTTATTCAACTTTTTAGATTTGTTTTATACTAATTCAAGAATATTGATTAACCTCTAAAGTATAATATTGTTTTATTAATCTATATATTATAATATCAAATGGCTAAAGTAAATAAAAGTAATAAAAAGATAATATAAATAAATTAATATTATTATTTATATAGAAAATAATAAAGCTATTTGTAATATAACTTGAATAACTATTCATAATCAAAAGTCGAGATTGATTATTTAATACTTTCTTGGATTCTAGTTTGAAAACCCTTTTTAATTATTCTAATTTATAGCTATTTGAAGTCTATCCATTTGTACTAATAAAGAACTATCAGCTTTGAAATATGTCCTTTGGAATTCATATAGAATTCGTATTTTGAGCTTTGAAAATGACTATAAGTGATAAAGCATTTCTAGTTATATTGATATATTCAAATATAGTTATTCATTTTTATTTGCTAGCTGTAACTTTCTAATTCGATTTTTAAGTAGAATCAATTATTATATAAGTACTTTAAGTATTTCCAATTCTAAATCCAGTTTTATTCATATTATATATATCATTTAATTTATATTTTCGCTTAATGAGATATATACGAAATGTATTAAATCAAGCCTGAATATTCTCCGGAGTTATTTCTTTAGTTTGATTAGATTTTAATTGATATAAATAGTATATTTTAAGTTCTGAATATCGTTTTTAGAATTTATAGATCTATTTATGATTTATAGATGGAATTTCTATTGAAATAGGATTTCGAAATGATATAATCTGAATATATTAAAGATAAATTTTATTAGCTATTTCCTTTATTAATATAGATATAATAAGGAATCTAATAATAATAAATTGTGAAATCTATTATACAAAAGTATTTTCTTCTATATTTGAAAGAATTTGAGCTATTTCGTAGATTTGAGAATATATTTTCTTCCCAGCTAGCCTATCAGCTAAAATAGACTTAAAGATTTCAAAATACTCTGTAATCTTTCTAATTGATTTAAATTCTTTTAATTGAAATGAAATTATAGTCTTTTAAAGCTTCTCTTTAATTTGAGCAAATATAGAAAATGATTAAGTATATATAATAAAAGTTATTACGGTTTCAAATTGGTAATAGGCTAAAAGTATTCGAGTTCCCCATATATCCGAGTTCCCTATACGTTACGTTATATCTATTCTAGATTTAAAGCTATAAGAATTATATACAATAAATTTGTGTACTAGTGCGCTAGTATACTTATATGCGTATATTCACTTGTATCGCTACACTTGTATTAGGAGATAGTGAATATGAGACATCTAAAATCCAACTTCTGATAACTCACTATCACAGCAAACAAGAAAGCGTATTTCAAAATGCTTGTTGAATTTGGAAACGCTTTAAGAAGTGATGCTTATGATTATGTGAAGCGTGTTATATAGCCATTTATGTACCCGTGCTCCTCACACCAGGCTTTCGACCCCGCTTTCGAGGCCTTCCCCCTTGTTTTGTGAAGTTATTCTTCAGTGATTGCAGCGTGTGGCCTGGGAAGTGCCGTCCTATCTCTTGCTCCTTCGCCAGCTCCTTGCCTGGCTTGCGAGACGTGACGGCCTTGTAAGAGACTACAGCCTCTGCCGACGACTCCCTAGAGCCAGCACCTAAAACCTTCGAATGGAGTGAGAGGTCCAAGTGCTCGGGAATATGTGGCAATGCAAATTCGAGATTGTATATCGTTTGATCGCCAATCGTGATGCGATTCAGAAAACCTTGAAAAAGCTATTCCCGGTGCTCTGTAACTGGTGCCGACTCGACTGTAAGTGAGGGGCTGCGAAAGGTAGGTGGCGTGTAGTGGTGCTCGTCATCTCCCAGAGTTGATAGGTGCCCATGATCGGCTTGGGGTGGCGACTCGTCTATCTCAGGTTGCGTGGTTGAGGGTACAGTCAGGCCGTGAGCATGTCTGAGGAAATGGTTTGGGCTGTGCTCAAGGGGGGCCGTTAGAAACATATCAGGAGATACTAGGTGCAGCTTCCGCCTCTTTGCAGGTCGTGGTTCCTCGTCGTCCTCGTCATCTGTGTCATGACTACGTTCGTTACCCTCGGACTGATGGATACCGCTGCTGACCTCCTCAGCCCCATCCTGGTGCCGCCGTCGCCTCTCTCCCTGTTGCTCCTGCGGCTCCTCTTCATCCTGGCCCTTCGAATCTGCCATGACTAGATACTGGGATGATTATCGAACGCTGATTAAGAGGAGAGTGAGATTTCGAAGAGTGCCGATGGGACTTAGAGTGTGGTCTATGTTGACGGTTGGCTAGCCCTGGGCTTTCACCCTCCTTGCTGCATAGGTGGGTATCGCCAACCTTTTCGGTCATCAACGCCGCTGCCACGTCTTCTTCCGCCTCTTGCTGCAGTTGCCTGCCGTCCTCATTGTCGTTGTCATAATCCTCATCCTCCTGCTCTTCCTCCTGCTGCTGTCTCTCCTCTCCATCAAAGATATCGGGATTCAGTGCAGGGCGGACCAGCTCATGTTCGTCTGCTGTACTTCGATCCGTAGAAAGATGATCTGGGGGTTGATTGCGACAATGAGCAGGATGGGACATCGTGGCCTCGGAACTGGCGCGGACCGTACATTGGCCTGCTACATTAATGTGGTCGTGCAATGGCTCGCTCAAGGCACGGAAGAGGAAGCATAAGGGCGCATGCAATTAGATATCGAAGGTCTTTGTTTAGAACACTGCGAGCGCTATGCTGTCTCAAGGAAGTTATCAATATTGTATTACCTATTAGGATTGAAAGAGATTGAAGTTATCGAATCAATGGTATTCTCTAAATTATCGAAAAGGTTTATATCTGCTATTATATTTTCAATACAACCATTATCATTTGCTTCAGTTTTGGAAATATTTAAATTATTATTTCCTAAAAAAAACAATTGGATTGTTTATATTGTATTAGAAAAACTGATTGTTGATTTCTATAACAAAGAGTAAATGAATGCGTGTTCACCTAGACTCCTGCCTGAGATATCGCTTTATGCCAAATCTGGTATGGTCGATAGAGCCTCCCTTTTTCGCGCCCTATACCTTCCTGTCAAAGAACATTAGTCAGTCAAGCAATTTTTAAAAAAGCCCTGTGCGGCAGTTGTGTCCTGAAAACGAAGATCATGGCCCCGCTGGTCATGTTGAATCTTCCCAGTTTCGAAAGTCTCAACCCCCCCTCTGTCACACAATTGAAGTGCTTCATTTGAGTGACACGATTCCGTTCTGAGTCTGTTGACATTTAAGGTTAGCTGTGGCTTCTGCGGGAGAACCTCATGATCGCACTAAAAAGTCGACATAGCGCAGATCGCGTATGATTTCTTGTTTAAAATCCTGGCGATTTCTTATTTTGTCTATCTGCATTGCGTTCTATGGGTTCTAGACTCTAATTTTATGTATCTTCTAAGCTTTCTCCATACAAACTCTCCCAATCTCTACCCGATCAATTCATAATCATGTTCCTATGACCACGAGATTTGTAGCCACAAGTGTAAAAGGGCGACCGAACAGAGAATCGGGTCCTAGCTCAAGCACGCAAGTCACTTAGCTTATCTACATAGTAGTGGGGGATAACTGGTGCCTCTTCAGCCTCCCAATGTTCTTTCTTCATAACTCCAGTTAATACTGCAAGAGTACCGCCAAGCTTGCCCTCCAGACCGAACTTGATATCTGTGTCTAATCGGTCTCCCACCATACAAGCAGTCTTGCGATCAAATTGGAATTTGCCTTCTATCGAGTCCATCATTGCTTGACTTGGTTTTCCAAGAGTTATAGGTGTCTGGCCAGTCATGTAGATGAAAGGAATTGATATTGATCCAGCACCAGGGAAGAAAGTGTGGTTGGATGGAAGTATACTATCCGTATTCGTAGCCAAGAACTTTGCGCCTCGAGCGAGATATTGATAACCGAGAGAGAGCTTTAGGTAATTTATATGGAAATCCAGGCCTACGAGAACAACTCCGACATTTGGGTCCAGCATAGATTCATCTGCGATATTTTTGTAATCATCTGGTGTAATATCTCGTCGGTATGCTGGATCCGTTCCACCAATGAACTCAATGCCTTCTGCTCTCAGCTCCGTTTCAATACCTGCTTCACCGATCACAAAAACCTTGTTCTTTGGGGCTGGCAGTTTCAGAATTCGAGCTATGTATATCGCCGAGGAGTATGAGGATGCGAATATTTCGTCGACATTACTTGGGATACCCAGCGCAGTGAGCTTCTTCTGGTAATCGGCTCGGGATTTCGTTGAGTTGTTCGTTACAAACACAATCTTCTTGCCTACAGGAATTCAGTATTAATTAATACCGCAAATCGGAGAAATCGATACCTTTTGCTCTCAATAACTCCAACGTCTCCACAGTGCCGGGGAAGAGGTGATCCCCCGACCACAATACACCTAATGCAACTTCAGTATATTGCTCGAATATCAGAAGGATGTAGAATACCATCGCAGTCAAACAAGAAGATCTGAGGGACGAGTCAGTGATACTTGAAGGGGTTGGTGATAGTAGTTGGGGCTGACTCAACGCACGTCGAATTTGTCAATGAAGGCATTGATAGCAGGCTTGTCGCCTGTGAGGCGCTTCGGGGATGACGCCATGTTGAGTTTGAATAATTTTGGGCTGGAGGTCCGGAGTGAGGAATCGTTGAAGAAGTTGCTGAATGCTAGGCGGTTTCCACGATCCCTCACCGATACCGTAGGCGCCCTCGCTTATAACGGGGTCCTTAATCACATGATAAAGTCACCTTGGCATGGAACATGCCATTCAGAGGCTTTTGGGTATCATGTCCTGCGAAAAGGCAGCCGGGAGAGGAGAATTGCCCGGGCTTCAATTCCGTTTGTGTATGGCTTGCTGACATCACATTATTATATAACATAGTTTATCAATAAGCGGAATGTACTAGCCATCGGGAAAAAAGAATTTTCAGACTCTAGATTCATAGAATTTTTTTTCTTTTTAATTATTATAATAATTTTAAAATCCTACGAATTCGTAAACTTCAAATTATTTTCCCCTAACAGCTAATATTAATGTAATATATAAATTCTAGTTCTAATTCTAGTTCTAATTCTAATTCTATAATATATACCGGGGCCAGCCCTCAAGCCTCTGATCCTTACTTTGCTCGTGTTTAAACTAATAGATTTTATTCTTATTATTCTTATTATTCTTACTATAAATCCTTATGTATAGATTCTAATTCAGATTCTAATATTAAAAAACGTCTAAGGCAACCATACCTCAGGCATTTATATCCTTGCTTACAAATACACCTCTAAATATACTTCCTCTTAATTCAATCAATTGATTCTATCACTATTACAAAGTTTATCTTAAAACTAATTATAGTATTTGAAAGCTTATAATTACTTTTTACAAAGTTTATCTTAAAACTAATTATAGTATTTGAAAGCTTACAATCTAATTACTTCTTTTCTAATTATTTTATTAATTCGTTTAAAATAGTTTTGTAAGGTTTTCCCCTCTATCCGATCGGAATAACTCTGCCCTAGTGTCAGTAGTGATTTATAGCTGTTGCGATAGGGATCATGTGGCCGCACTAGCGCTTGCGCTAGTGCCTCAGCATTATAGTATATTCGTTTCGTAGCCTTAGCTTTCAGAACCTCAAGTAATATTACAACAGTGTGAACCATAGTACTATATTGACTTCACTATCCCTATGGTGATACCAACAATAACCAATTAAAATAGTATTATACTTATAGAGATATATGATTATATAATATATAGAGTATAAAAAAACTTGGTTTGCTTCTACGAATTCATCAAAATTTTGATTTAATATAAAAATTACTCAATTTGAAGAAAAGTCTTTTTTTAGTAGGTAGTTAAGTGTCCTCGACTGTAGAATATTTCTCACCATTTACAGAACTCCTCTCAAAGATTCGATAAACGAGGTCCCACATGACAACTCCTCTCATCCAGTCCTATCCAACCATTCCTAACCTTTTCTACGACCCTTCAACCATTCATTCATTCTTTCTTTCGGAAAGAAATCCTCTAAACGGATCCAACGGCCTTGACAATGAATGCACTTGCGGTTGGTGCATCATTTGAGTATGTCAAATCTAGAACATGCACATTATCAGTAAACGCATTCCCAAAATGCTCCATCTAGATCTCAAATCTCAAATCCCAAAAGTCCCCTCCACCCTTTCAAAAAAACTCTCAAGAAAAACTCACGTGTAGTAAATCCTCCACTTCCAGTACAGATAATATCCTGATCATGGCAAATACTCAACACCTTACTACTTGGGACTGTTCCCACAGCCTGGCCGTAGTCTGGGTCGCCAAACACGACTACTGCGGCAATCTTGGCTGTTACAGCTGCAGAGAGTGTTTTGGCTGCTTTGTGCACGAGTTGTGCGCCTTGAGAATAGCCGGATAGGACGAGTTTGGCGGAGGGACACTTGGTGGAGGCGGAGTTGATGAGGGTGGCCATGGTACTGGAGCCGGCTGAGTCGCCGCCGGCAAGGTAACTGGAGTGGGGTTAGTTCTGGGTGGGAAGGAAAGATGGGATGGGTGTGAAGGAGATTAGCATACCCTAATACACTGGCGGAATAGTCAACACCCTGCACTGTAACTTTGGCAGTTGTAAGTGCAGATCTCAAGTCGGTGAAGACGTAGGGTCCGACGTCCTGGCCGACATTTCCTTCTGGAATATTGTTAGTGGGATGACTCTGAAGAACAGCAGAGAATGCAAGGAGAATTCAGATGTCAGAAGAAAAGAGGAGGATGGGGGAGATGATATGATCTTGAACAAAAAACACGAGGTTTTAACACAAACATACCTTCATTAGTACCCCTTGCGAAGATCACAATGACGGGTTTGCAAGCATCAGTAGTCAAGCCATTCTCTGTAGTTACAACGGCAGCAGCAGCTTGTTCAAAGAAGTGTGCGGTTGTAGCGAGATGTTGGGTGGTTGTTACTTGGGCTTCTGCTTGAACTTCTACTGCTGCATCGACTTCCGATTCTGCGACTGGAAGAGCGAAGGCAAGAGAAGAAACTGAAAGGAGAAGGGGGATTGAGAATCTCATTTTGAGAGTGCGGATTTTCCTGACCGGGGTCTGGCTGAAGAAGTGGTAAAGGAATGGAGTGAGGGTGGAGTGAGAGGACAGAAGGACCGAAGAGAGTACAATGAAGATGGCACTCGAGCTTACGGATTGTCTAGAGATTGAGGGTGGGCGAGTATTTATGTTCCAAGCCTCATTTTTTTCCCTCTCCAATTTCTCCTCAATCTCGTGTCATTATCTCCTCTGAATGGATATCCCGAGGTCGTTGCAATACACACTCGCATACACACACACACACATACATTCGAACCAAGCCAACCGGGGCCACGTATCAACATAGGAAGTTCGGATACATTTTTGCACCTGCATGTAATACCAAATTCAAAATAACTATCCAACCAAACCCCTCTTCAATTTTTCAAATTCACTCCCACTTTTCTCATACCCAGATTTTACTCACTCTCCATCTCCAGCCAAGAAGGAAATCGAAACCAAGCTCCATATAACTCATCTTTCTCTCACTTCTTTGGTCAGTCGATCAACATTTATATTTAGCCGAATCCAACATCACACCCTCTTCAAGATTTTGTGGCTTTCGGACCTGCGTATAGATGCAGGTGATGAACCATTGGAGATCGGACCTGCCTGTATTGATATATAACACCGTGCCTTTGAGCAGTAGTTGAACACCAATGGTATTGGCATTAACATTAGTATTGGCATATAATAACAGCCTCGGTTCTCTTGACAACAGGCGGGGAAAAGAGGGAGGAGAAAGTTCGATAGATATTCTATTCTTTAAACTTTCGGGCTTAGGTCTTGGCTGCAGGTTCGGAGGGTTTCGGGTGGACGTCGGATCTCTGGATGAGTATATCTTCTTGTAAAGGAAAGAAGGTATGAGTTGGCGGGAATAACTCTAAGTGGATTATTGAAGTGTTTGCTTTATAATAGTGAATTATATTGAGACTTGCGCAAGAAATAAATTTCCTGCCGATTCCAAATAGCATCTCGTATATTTCGATATTGCTGTTGTATTGGTATTTAATTCCGGTCTCCTTTTGCTTTCAGATATTATATCCTCAGTCCTATGATTTGCACGTGCAGGAGAAGTACAACACTGTATGTAATGTACATCCAATACTTCTGGATTTCTGCAGCGACCAAGAATGCCTAATCGACCCAGCCAATCCAATTCCAATCGTTTAAAATAACCCGTCTCCATAACCATGAAGATTCATGTGAGACTCTCTTTCGTCCAATTCATCCAAATGCCTTCCCAACAAAGACCAGTGATCCGTTTGCTGTATCATTGGCAATGAAAATGACTAAACAAACTTGCTTATTCTTGACAGAAAACGAAGCAAAAGAAAGAAACAAAGACAAATCATCAAATCAGATACCCACTTAAGCACCTTGGCCCGTGATATCTTCAAGCTCTGAGTATTCATTGTAACACCTGCCACAAATCTCCCCGCAATTCTCATTCTATCCAACAGCCAACCTCCAACAAAACGGCAGAATTGCGGGGGTGGAGTCCTCTACCTAGTCAAGTCTCCTACCCGCCTCACTAATTTTCCATCTTCGGGCATATACTCCGTAAATAACCTACTAATCTCTGCAACCTACCTACTCCACCCCTTCACACCGTTTTTCCGTCAAAAGAATAAGGATTAACTACCGACATACATCAAACATGATACGCACTGTATGCGAATTTCTTGGGGTGCATGTCACCTATGCATAAGAGATATATGGAGTTAGGGACTTTCCATAATAGGAAGGAGGGTATGTGATAGAGATCATTCGGTCTTTTCTTCACTGCACTTTCGGGGGATGAAGTGTTTGGAAAAGGGAATTTAGGGTTATTAATTACATCATTTTATTATGGAAGATTTTTCCTTGCATCTTCTACCCCACAATCTCTCTTGGCATTGATCCTATCGACTGGGCATCAATTTCTACCGAGGCCTGATATGAGAATAGAGTGAAGGTATGTAGAGTAAAGAGAAACTCTTGAGACTACACTGTACTTCGTAGCAATCTCGAGAATTCTACGATGATTCTCAATGTAAAATTGACCTCATGCACTATTTGCAATTGACCAAGCATCCAGACACACATAACCCGACCTATGTCCCAATCTTTTCACCTTATACTATACAAAAGTGCCAGCCCAGTAAATAATCCAAGATTCCCACCAACACAATTCCTCATCTCCGATATAACCAATGCAGAATCCCACTTCCTTCCCTCATCTCAAAATCTTCCTCCTACCAATCAACCCAAACACCTCCTGGTAATACTCCCCTCATGACTCCCCAATGCCCTTTCGCACTTTTATCCTGCCACTCCTGCAACCTCCCAGTCTCGTTCCTCATCAATACCCCCGCAAAAGCTTCTTCTCCTTTCTCTTCTCCTAGCTTTAACTCTTCGTCTTCTATCTCCCACTTTGGTAGTAAAAATGCTCTTCTCGCATTACTTCTCAAAAAGTCCTTCTCAACCGGTTTACGGAATGTGATTGATGGCGCAGAAGTTTCAGGACCCAAAGGAGGCGTTTCGGAAAGAGGCTTCTTGCAAAAGATCACCATGTTAGTGAAATCTTGTCCCGTTTCCGCAATGTGTTGATCTGTTGGTGCTTCGGCCTCACGGTAAATACGACAGGTGGGGAAGAGTGAGCGAATTGTACGATGAATGATTAGGAATGGGGGAAGAAGGAAGTCTCCAGCGTAGTTCTATAGGTAATTAGTACGAAAATTTTAGAATGTCAAGAACGATTAAACGTACAATGGCGATAACACCACCCGGTTCCAAGATATCGTGAAGATCCTTCAAAAACTCATATGTGAATAGTTCAACAGGTTCAGCCCCGCCTGTAAATACATCGTGCACAATGTAGTTGAACCTCTTTCCTTGAGCTGCAAAATTTGATGCTACAGATACGGCGTCCTCAATAATAGTTTCTTGAGGCTCAGGAAGGGAGAAGTATTTTTGAGCGAAATCAACCACAACGGGATCAATCTCCACCAAGGTAGTATGAATTCCATGGGATATCAGAGCAGCTGGAGTGGTACCAATACCGAGACCACTATTTTATATCAGTATAATGAACAATTCTTTATGGAGAAATCTGAGAAACTCACATGACCAATGCGCTAGCATCCTCGTCTTTAATTGGCTTTTCGACTTCAATCAAACGTATTGCCTCTAGCATCACAAAGATTCCATAAATAGGCTCAGCAAGTCCTTTGGCCTTTTTCCCATTGACCAACCATTCTCCTCCCAAAAGACTATGATCACAACGCATAGCACGGAATCCATTGCCCATCGTCAAACTTTCAATAACGGACACATACCCAGTCAGAGATTCTTTTCGTTCAAGGATTGACCAACCATTGGCATTCATCGTACTATTAAGTTGATTTATCGCATATGACGTTGGAACATGTACATTAAATAATGCAGTATGGAATAGTGCTGGTAGTATCCAAAGTAGAAGTTTCGAAGGAGCAAAAGCTGAGAATAAAGCCTGGAGTACAATTTGCATTCCAAGACGTGTGAAAATGATGGATTGACCAATGTATTGAGAGATTTGATTTGCGGATATATATTCCACGGTTTTGAAAAAGATATATGAGAAAATACCTGGTGCTGCATCGGATATCCAAGGCCATCGACCGGATGTGAGTTCCAAATCGTCCAGTGTAGTAGCAGTACACGAGACGGAAAGGACGAGCAGAGGTAAAAATGTGAGTCCTTCCGTAATAGGAGGTCCAAGATTAGCTCCCATATAACCACTCAACTTGAAGAGTAAATATTGGGCCACTGGAATGTAAGCCGCGATAATTGGAAGAAGTTGGACTGGTCTCCTAATTGGAAGATAGCGCCTAATGAATAGATTTGACGACCAGCCTAAGAAGCAAGCCGTCATGACTCCTTTCGAATGCCATATTCCAGCTGGATATGATCCATAGACTGGAGAGAGAGTAAGTTGAGAGACATTTGAATATATGGCGGCGAGTGAAAGGAGGGTAGCGGATTGAGCCAAGACCCAAAGTTGAGATAAGAGAAATCTGGATGTGGTCTCTTCTTGAGCTTTCGATGCTAAGGCTTTGAGCTCTTTCTCAAAATTATCTTGAGTAAATGATTGTAATTGCTCATCGTTTATACTTGTTGGTTCCGATGATTTGGAAGGCTTTGTGGATGATTTTGGTGCCATGATATCTACGATTTGAGATAGTTCAAAGAAGAGGGGTGAGGTGAAGGTGTTTAAACTCCCGCCAATAATATTATCGAGCAAAAAAAGCAACAAATTAAATCTTCAACATTACTTCCACAAAAGAGAAGGATTCGAGTTTATATTTCAATGAACTGATATCTGAATACGTTGCGACAATTGTTTTGTTTGAGGCCAATGCGTGAATTCTGAAACGCGAAAGAACCATAAAACACGTGATGTTTTAGATGAAAGAAGGGGAACAAGTCCTCGCTCGGAGTTTGATATTTTCGTTCCGTAAGAGATTTAGGATGAATTGGGTTAAATTGGAGTTTTGACCATGGGATGAACTAGTGGGTTGAGATTAAGGACTTGGCCGTGTACTTATCATTACATCGTGGTTCATATATTCAGTTCAGTGGGGGAGAACTTTCAAAGCAATCGCTCGTTGTTAGTTTGTAAAGTAAATAAATAAATAGGTATATAAATAATGATACTACATTTTTGGGATAACGAAAAAGTTATACAGGATGCCATCGTTGCCCTGCGGAAGAGGGCCCAACATGAAAACCCTCGACCCCTATTGGGATGAAACATAATCATACAGGATGCCATCGTTGCCCTGCTGCCGAAGACCCAACATTAACGTCATCGACACCCCTCGCAACTCCATCAACAACATCATTTAGATCTTGATGCCCTCCAAAATAGGCTTAGCCTCCTCACTCTTCCACCAACTGACTCCATCCTTTCCTGGGTACTCAAATTGATCCATGCTTGCTGCCTTCATCTCAACACTGTATCCTGGCTCCAATGGAGTCTGGTAGTACCCACCCTTGATGACAGATGGGTGCTCGAAGTGCTCATGGAGATGGTCAACATATTCGAGAACGCTCAACTTTCCACTGACTACGACGTAGTCAATGGTACTCAAATGTTGAGTATACTCTGGAAGTCCAACACCACCACTGTGTGGAACAATTGGGACACCGAACTTCTTGGCCATGAGGAGAACAGCCAAGACTTCATTGACACCTCCCATTCGGCAGGCATCAATTTGGCAGACATCGATGGCTCCGCTTGCCAAAAGTTGTTTGAAGATAACTCTGTTTTGGCACATCTCACCAGTTGCAACACCGATTCCATATGGTTTGAGAGCCTCACGAATAGCCTTGTGACCGAGAATGTCATCAGGAGAAGTGGGCTCCTCGATAAACCATGGCTTGAACTCTTTGAGTTGTTGCATATATTCGATAGCTTCAGGGACAGACCAAACCTATATGATTGTTAGTTTGAAAACGAATTATCACTGCTTTGATGTGACATACCTGGTTTGCATCAACCATAAGAATATTGCCCTTGTCGTAGCCAATAACTTCTCTGGCAATTGACAAACGTTCTCGGTCATCCGCAACAGATGTTCCAACCTTGAGTTTGAAATGTCTGTATCCCTTGGCCAAAGTTTCCTCCAAGAGCCCCTTCATCTTATCTTTGCCGTAACCCAACCATCCGGCACTTGTGGTATAAGCAGGAACAGCCTTGTTGTTCAAGGCATCTTCAATTCTCTTTGCCTTTCCTCCCTCTTCAGCCTTCAACATAGCAATGGCCTCTTCAGGTGTGATAGCATCGGTGATATAACGGAAATCGATACAGCTGACGAATTCCTCAGGGCTCATGTCTGCAACAATTCTCCAGACAGGCTTGTTGAGTGTCTTTGCCCATAAATCCCAGATAGCATTGACGACGGCTCCAAGGGCAAGATGAATAACACCCTTTTCTGGACCAATCCATCTGAGTTGTGAATCGGAAACGAGATATCTCCAGGTTTGACCCCAATTCGAGACGAGGGAAGAAAGGGTACGCCCCTTAAGACGATCAGCGACATGGTCGATTGCAGCACATACGATATCGTTTCCACGACCAATTGTGAAAGTCTGCGAGAAGAAGTATTGGTTAGCGGGGTGTAAGTAGGGTAATTGACAGTAAACGAAATATTGTAGTCATCTTACCATGCCATGACCAGAGAACTCGGAATCGGTCTTGAGAATACAGTATGCAGAACTATAATCTCCAGCAGCGTTCATAGCATCTGAACCTGTCTTATCGAGAGAAGTGGGAAATCGAACATCGCGAGTATCCCAACCTGTGATTGTAACTTCAGCCATGATGATTGGTGTGAGGAGTAATTGTGAGCAAAACAGGTAAATGAAGAAATATGAGAATGAATGATTGAAGAGGAAGAGAGAATTGGAGAGAAGTATTTGTCCTACAGATCGGGAAAGAAGCAGACAAATATATACAAATTCAATGGGCCATTGGAACGTTTGGGAAGAAGTCAAGAAGGCATAATCAATTGGCTCAACAGTGGGGCAATTGGACCGAAGCCAAAAGTTCGACGATGATTTCTGTGTTGTTTGCCTGTTTGCCTGTTTGGTCAATGACATTCAAGGATTTGTATTGGTGGAAGAATAGAGTTTCCTGTCAACCCCGCGCTATTTTTTTGATCATTTACCTCACAGGCTCACACGGTCCTTTTTCAGTCCTCACTTTCCCCCATTTCACTCCACTCACACTTCACCACTCACAACTTCACTCCAATCATGCTTCACCAACCCCTCGTAACCCCCTGATTCGGAACCCCCACATTGTTCGAGATTTTGGTGGGAGAAAGAAAATCCGGGTGAGACTTGATTTTGGATATCCCAGCTAGTTGCCGGTAAGTATTCATGGTATTCATGGTATTCATGATATTCATGCAAATACTTCCAATCGGAATTAATACAAAATTGCTTGATCAACCCATCATACGCCAGCAAGATTGCAATGCTAATATTCCGAGCTTCTACTCTTTCTTGGAATTCTTTAAGAACTCTATACTCGACGAAAGACTTGGTATAACCTCGTCTTCTTCGCATTCAATTTCCACATCATGGCTTAACTCTCGTTTCGAGGGCCTTCGTGGAAAACTTACACTACACATTGTTTATTATTTGATCAAAGCGGAACGAAGGACACCTCTCGTGACACTCCATGCATTGAAATGACAATGTCTGGATCTGACCCCACCTATGGACCGAGTTATTGGGGTCGTTCGACAGTGGTGTTGAGACTTCAAATAGACTCAATGCTCCACTTCGTCAATTGAGAGCATAGTCATTCATTTTGGAGGAACATTCGGTGACAGTAAAACACTCAACCATTTGTGTTTCTTCTTCTTTCTAAATTTTTGGATGGAGAGGAAAGGGTCTTTTGGTCGCTTACCAAGCCTTCCTGAATACCTGATGGGCAGGCCCTTTCAAGTTTCATGCTAATATAGCCGGAGACTTGAGATCAACGAAGTTAAGCTTTCCAGGGCCCATACACGTTCTTTCAGCCGGAGCTATCAGTGCAACTCTCTTACTGTACGTGCCGGGCCATCTGACAACCATTGCTAGAATCGATACCAGATCTGGATCGGTTGAAGGAGAACAATTTGATTCATTCTTCTGGGTCAAATTTTGAAAACAGGTAAACTGCGCAGATGTTAGCAAGTAAATGTATGCATTGCAGAATACAAAGAAAGAGGGTTGAAAAGATCCAAAATTAACAAGCATCTAGTTATTGTTTCTCTCGTTGGGAATCAAGGCAAGATATAAATGCTTCCTTACCTAGTGGTACCAGAAAATGAGCTACTCGGCTTCCCAAGAAGTTTGCCTGGAGATTAGAGGAATTTTTGAACCCGAACATTTTCAATGCATGTACATATTACAATTGCACTGGATGTTTCACATTTGCTGTGCCGTTCTTCCCTATTAAATTACCAATTGGCTAACATACGGATACTATACTCTATTCCCTGTTGTTGATATTTTGGGGAATACAGAGTATGAATGGCCCGTCAATGTAAATTTTCAAAAAAAATCAAGCCCATGCAAAGCTTTAACGCCATAGGCTACTGACCTTAACTCAAGATACGATTGGGAAGTCCCCTTAGAAATTGGTCAGGAATCCGGAATGCAGGATCTTGAAATAAACAATGAACGATGTGGATGTTCGGGCAAGGATGCAAATTCTACCAACATGCTTTATGTTGGCCTGATGCAATAGATGCATGGGGAGCACACACTACTCTCCTATCAAAAGACAAAAGAAAGCAAGTCCAAAGCTTTTTCCCGGTTATGGTGCTTTATTCCCAACAGATAGAACAAGCCATTTCAAGCGTGGCTGAGTAGACTGTTTGTTTTCTCTGGGAAAATCTGAGAAGCTCTCCGTTGTCTATCGCTCCTTAATCATTGCACGGATGGATACTGCTGGAAACGTCCTATAGCCATACATTGAGTATCAATAATGAATTCTGGGGCCTTCGATTCAATGACTATCAAAGTAAAGAAATTTGCAATTACTTCCAGACGTTCACGAATGCTCTGTAGGGATCGAAGTTTTTCTACTCAAACGGAACTCAATTCTTTCTTCGAGGAGTTACCTATGGTTCGGATTTTTTTTTAGATATATTGGCTGATAAAGAAGCTTGCGAGCGTGATATCAAGGCATTAGTATCTCTGGGGATCAATGTACTACATGTTTATGGAATCGATTCAGGTCAAGATCATGGGGAATGCATGCAAAAATTCATGGAAAATGGTATTTGTCTACTAATCGACCTACATATCACGTCTACGTATATCTGCATCGATTCTACTGCATGGACAAATCAAAAGTTCTTCGCCTATATGGATATGGTGAATGCATTTGCTTTCTACACGAACACACTCGGATTCTATCTAGTCGACAATCCCATTACAGATAGTTCCACTTATTTAGCACCACTCTCTAAAGCAGCTGTAAGAGATGTAAGAGGTTATATCAAAGCAAGAGGCTATCGTTCTATACCCATTGGAGGATACGTTCTGACTGATAGTGATTACGCACAAGAGACCTATCGACTGGTTGCAGATTACATGGCTTGTAGAAATTGGAGCATTGATTTTTGGGCGTTGACAGACTATTCATGGTGCGACAACTCCACGTTCACCTCTTCGAATTACTCTCGTCTCACCGAAATTTTTTCCGACTATCCATTACCAATATTACTCGCAGACTATGCATGCGAACCCACCACAGAAGACAACAGTGATGTTGGCGGCCGGATCTTTGATGAAATAGGCACCATATATGCGTCCAAAAAAGTCGGATATTTGGTCGGCGGAATCGTGTATGAGTGGGCGAGCTCCAGCGATTCAGATCCCAGTGACTATGGTAAGTAAACCTCTTTGGGAAGGTGTGCTGGATTTCTTACAGTGTCTCAGCAGCTCTGGTAAATTTAACCGACAACGTGATCCAGCTCAATCAAATTATAAATCATTCTCAACACAACTTGCTGCGATAAATCCTTCTATAACTCAAATGTCAGCTTATACACCAACTATTACAACGGCGCCATCATGCCCGGATGAAAACGCAACTTGGGGTATACGCATCCATCCAACATCTATTACATTCTGCGAATGTTAACAGCCGCATCGACAATACTTCCCCGACAGCAAATACTCTGGTATGCGATTACATGATAACTTCTCTACACTGTAAAGTTGACCCATAAACATCAGCCAACACAATCACATTTGTTCAAGCAACTCTATGTACATCAAACTCCACAATTTGTGACGATTTACATCGAATGTCACTTCTTCAACTTATGGCGCATTTAGCGTGTGTTTTCCTTGGCAACAGGTTTCCTGGGCTATCAATCAATTCTACCTGAATAAAGGAGGTTGCTCGCAAAAAACAACGACGGCAAGTCTGAAAAGTCTCAAAGCTCTAAATTCTAGCTGCATCGATATTTTGGCAAAAGCAGGCCCGTTAGGCAAAACACCAATTTGTTCAGATATAACAATTGCCAATTCTACCTCAGACTCAAATATCACATCCGTATATTCAGACTCCTCAACTGATAGCCCCAGATCCTTATCCGGCGGTACCATCGTAGGAATCGTGGTCGGAATCCTCCTAGCACTTATCGCAGCCGGTTCTCTCATCTTCTTCTATCTACGTAAAAGGAAATCGCGAAGATCGCACACAGCCCAAGAACTAGAAGCTTCCACTCCCGGTCAACACGATACACCAGCTGAACTTGGGAATGACGGTCAGAAAGCAGAATTATGCGCCAATGATACATCTACCAATGCAGGAGCAACTAGTCCGAAGGAATTGGCCCATGAAGGCGATGCGATGTTGCCGAGAAATCAGAATGAGAGCCGGGAAATTTGTGAAATGCCTTGAATTGTGCTTTAGGAGGTCGGGTCAGGGTGTTTGGACTGTGCAGGTCAAGAATGAGGTAATGAGATTATCAGGATTGGCGTTAAGAGGGGGTCATTGTGGATATAATGGTTTAGAAGGAGGAGAAAGGATGTCTATCTGTCCGGAAAAGGAAAGAGAGCGTTGATGTCACGAGCGGAAGAAAGATTACTCACCAAGAAACTTTTCTATAGATACCCCGAGTTACGAGAGAGAGATGAGAAGCATAGTTTTATGAGGACATTCTATATTGAAGTTAATTATTAGTTTCCCAATCTGATGCTTAGGAGTTCATATCAATAAAATCGCATTCAGCTTCGCGAGTGATCATTCACAAATTAGATGGAAGATGAACAGACGGCCATGAATCTCTCCGCTTTCTCGAGTTTCATCCGTTCACTTGTTCGATCTATGAACCTGGAATCCATTGCGCGAAAAAATGCAATTTACATAGTTATATATTGACAAGCCCTCAAATTTTACATATGTAAACCAAAGGAACAAATACCAAGTCCTCGCATTAAAGGGAAGAACACTAGTCGAACATGTAGTAAGCAGTTCCTGCATGTCAGAGAACCAAGGAAAATAAATTCATTCAGGGTATCAATATTTGCCAGCCAGTACACCACACACGCTTTCAATTCCCAAAACACCGTTTTGCACCAGTAATCATCAAGCAGAATGCCATGCCATCATCTAATCAAGACATCCACTGTATCCATATCATCGAAACCCGCCTCTTCCACTGTAGAATCTAGCTCCAAATGATCCCCATCAAAGCTCAGAATGATTTTCTTATCCGCCGGAATCTTATTCGTACTTCTGAATCCATCTACCAATTTCTTGATCGTCGTCGTTGGCTTCACATAGGTTTTGAATTCCTTGATATCCTTCGATTGAGCTTTGAGTATCAATCTCATCTTGTTGACTGGCTGGGGTACAACTTCAAGAGGTTCTTCTTCATCGTCGCTGATTTCTTCGGCTTCGGCTGCCTTGCAACATTCGTCCCAGAGATCATTTGTCCATGCCTCCATATGTATTCTACCACTATTGAAACCCTCACCTGTAGTATCGACATCGCCATTCGTGTTGAAGTCGAGGCCAAGGGATGCGCATGTCATGGAATCGAACAATCTTTTATTTCGCCAGGTGAGTAAAATCGAATCTTTCAATTCATCATTCATGTGTATTCCGTCCATTTCTTGTTTCCCGCACCAAGCCTGTCGAACTTCTCGTAGACGCTGATGAAGTTTCCGCCTAATGATTAAATTCTTGGTGTTTTCCAGTCGAGACGATATAAAAATTTCTAATATAGGTTCGACTTTTTTATTATCTTGGAAAACATCGTCGTCGACTGCATTTCTGTCCGGTTCATGATTTTTATTTGCCCATTCGACATTACTCCTCTGTTGGGCTAGATCTGCAAGTCTCTTGTTCTCTCGTGCCTTTGCCAATAATTCCGGGAATTCCTCTTCGGAGAATGCATCATCTTCATCGTCATCAAGAATGGGAATTGGTTCGGCTGATGTTACAATGGGAGAGGAACTTCTGCTAATTCGCTGCGTAACAGGCGCGGCATCGTCGCTGTCGCTATCGCTCACAGATATATAACCCTTTGCAAAAACTTTCTGTTCTCCGCTCTCCCCATTTCTACTATGTATATCTTTTGCAAAACGACCCATCAAACCCCCCGGCGAACGACGCTTCTTCTGCGGGGATCTCGTTTGCGACTTGCGACTATCGGGTGTAGATATTGAAGATTCCCTAAACCTATCAGCATACATACAACACCATATCTGCGTGTCCATAAAATAAATACCTAGCCGGTTCCTCATCTTCTGTCTCACTATTCAAATCCACCTTCCCCCGCACATCCTCATTTGAAAACTTCCTTCTTTTTTCCACTCTCGGACTTGAAGATGACTTCTCTCTGCTCTGCGATGAACGCTTTCTCTCTAAGCTCGCGGCTTTCCTTTCCCTCTTAATCTCCCTCTCCCTAGCATGTAGTGGAAACAGATCTTTTGCGCGACTAAAAGCATCTGTATGGTCCATCCCCGGTTTGAGCTCTGGAGCTTGCGCTGGGGTCAACTTCTTCTTGAAAAGAGAGAACTTTTTCTTGGCTGGAGGCGCTGATGCACCAGTATCGGGGTCTGCCATATTTAGTTATTATTTGTGCGATTTTTGTGATTGTCCTGATTGAGTGCATATGAAAATGAGGTCGAGATGTAAATACGGGGAAATTTTGGAGGGTTGCCGTTGCGAGGCTGCATGCGCTAAAAGTACCGGTAGCGATACCGATGCTTCATTTGCTGCCATTGTCTATGTAGAACTGTGATATTCAAAATTGTCTCCTCCATCAACGATAAGATTCTATCAAAGTCATATTGATATTTCGAAGAACGATATGGAGAACGGCGCATTACAACAAGGCGAAGGCAAGGATCCTTCATCCTTCCTGTCAGAAATTATTGGCTCAAAAGTCATTGTAAAGCTCAATAATTCTCTCGTCTTCAAAGGTTAGCTAGCTACCCATGCCTCCGGTCTCTGTCTAAAACTTACATCTTTGCAGGAGAATTACAGTCCGTCGATGGATATATGAATATTGCTCTAGAAAAATGCGAGGAATGGGTTCATGGAAAGAAGAAGACAGTTCATGGTGATGCTTTTGTGCGGGGCAACAATGGTGAGGATTCTTCCTGAACATCATTCGATATAAGCAGCTAATTCTGTGTGTCTCTTAGTCATGTACATATCGGCCGATGAATCTGCCTAATTTGCACAATGGTGGAAAAGCATTGGGCGGGAGTTATGGAGTGCTACACAGGAAGGGTCCTTTTACGAAATTCATGATATCCAAAAGACGACGATGGGATGCGACAAGGTAGCAGAAACTGGCGGGATTATGTGCACAGCCTTAAAAATAGGTGTGCCGATACTTGAAATTCGTGGAAACAACAATGGAGCAGCTTCTAAAGCTATCTAAGGCCATCTATCTACACTAGACATTCAAACCCTTGAGGTCCAGAAGAAATAAGTCTTACCATGCAACGCAACCTCACCATTCGCATTACGCTCAGCATCTATTCCCTTCAACGACCCGAGAACTTTCTGCTTCACTTGTTCTTTCTTCTCAGGCTCCATCACCGCTATAGCACTCAAAGTCCCAAATCTATTCCAAATAGCCTCATCACTCAACCATACCGTCCACTCAACATGATCTTCTCCAAGCGGTAGTGAGAACTGCGGTAAATCCTGCGTGAATGTATCTTTCAAGGTTTGCAATGGCGTGGAATCTAATTGATCCTCAAATACCTGTTTCCATTTCCCATGACGAAAACGTGGAAGCTCATCTTCACTACTCTCAACAATGTCTTTTAGGACCTGCTCCCATTTTGTGGTTGTTGTTCGACCGTCTCTTGGTGAGTTATCTGTATATCTTGTGATTAGTAGTAAGTGGGAAGATGTAATGTTATAACATACAATCTTCTATGTTCCACTACAGCGGACATGTTAGCATCTCAGTCTACGCCTTCATGAATCAGGACTTCTTACGATCATTCCAAATACCCCTCCAGGTCTTAAAGCTTTATGAATCTCCTTCAAAGACTCCTTTGTAGCAAACCTTGAGCGGCAAATCAGTATACAATTTCGTTTTCTCACGACTTCATCCTCTATCACTCACCAATGCCAGGACTACCAGAAACCCGAATTAGCAAACGTTCTCCTCTCATTTCACCCGTATTCCTAACCCACAAAGCAACTCACCTGCGAAGCAATAACCGCATCAGCCCAACCCTCCTCAATCTCCATGTTCTGTGCACTTCCCCCAACAATCTCCACACTCCCCTCCCACGCCCCCTCATTCCCCTTTCCAAACTTCCCCCTCAGAACCTCCTTCATCTCATCATGCGGCTCCACACACTTGATTGCAAACCCCTCCTTCCTCTCCGCCAACAAAGTAGTAAATTTTCCCGTCCCAGCTCCTACATCTACAATTCTAGCTCCTTCCACATTTTCCACTCCCAGATTCTTCAGGAGTTTAGAGACGGCTTCAGGTGGGTAGCTTGGACGATGTTTGTCATAGTCAGAGGCATTGGAAAAGCCGTTTAGGGCTTCGGGCGCTAGGGTTGACATTTTGGACGGGTCTACTTGAAATTTGGTATTATATTGATGACTGTAGATGTTGTGTAGGCTTAGCGGATTTAAATATATTTATGTATTTGGGTTGGGGTTGAATGACACTACGTCAGCGATGTGCCAGGGGAGCGGACCGGCACCGTAAATCGCAACCGCATTTGCAAAACTGGTGGGGAAGGTATGATTGAGATTCTGAAGCAATATGGATGTTGTGCAAGAAAAACCAAGTATTATTTTATATCCAAAGTTTATAGAGAAAGGAGAATTAAGAATTGCCATCCCATGCAATATTCCACCGCTTTCAAAAGACTGTCTATTTACCATACCAAAATTACTACAATAACCGCCAACGATTGATGTCTTCTACGATTAGTCAAACTAACATCATATCTCGAACCCGATGACACTACATCCCTCACCACCTATTCGGTTCAAGTCTAACATTCTTACCTCTAGAACTCAGTGATGTTTCTAGTACGGAATTCCGTTAGTCAGAAGTTGGAACTGATCATAGACTCCAGTCGAATAACTTCCATAACTCCTCTTTACCAAACCTCTCATGAATACCGCAGCCTCAGCCTCCGTCTTTTCCAACACAAATCTATCCCTGAAATGTTGAATAGACTCAGGCTTGAAGCAAGGAAGACCAGAATCCATCATGAGCATAACGAGTTGCGACAGCTTCTCTGTATAAGGACGAGAGGCCAAGTAAGCCTTTACGCATAATTCCTCGAACCATTTAAATGCCTGATGTTCAGTACTTCCTCCCATCACAGCCACCATCTCCGTTGTAAGCTTGAATGGCGCCCTTTCAAATTTGACACCTCCAGGGGCAATGTCAAAGCAGAATCCAAAATCGATGTGTAGAATGTGACCAGCGTCGTCAATCATAATGTTACCATTGTGTCGATCCTTGAATTGTAACAAGAAAGAGATGACCGAGTAGGCTGCCATACTTTTGACAAAGTTGGCACGCGCTTCTTGAAACCTGAGAGAGTCCTCATTTCCATATTTCGATATGAAATAATCATATAAACCATTGACAGCTTCTCTTCCCAGAATATCACGTGAGATCGAGTTTGGCAAAACATCAATGACACCACAACCAGGCGCTGTCGCAGTAACACGATACGGGAAGACGTAAACATCGAGGCCAACGTCATTGAAGATTCCACGGAACGCAGCGATCATTTGGAGGGCGAGAACGTCTTGACGACAATCATCACCGACTTTGAAAATTGCTGATTGCCAAATCTCAATCGAATTATCCATTGGGGTGCCTCCGTTTTTATTGGTTTCTTCGAGCATATCATCTGTGCCTTCCATGTCTGCACCTATACTTTTCTTGATGCGGAACGTTGCCATATATGGTGCTTTGGCATGACTTTGCAGGGGCTTTCCAGATTGTCGATCGATGCCAATTACCACACCATCAGGGTTACTAGGAAGATATACTCCAATCTCCACCTTGATCTTACGCAACTCTTCTTCAATTTTCTGCTTCTTCTCTGGCTTGGGTCTTTTGATGTATGGCTTCAGCTTGCCTGAAATGCTAGTAACTTCGTCAAAAAATGTGAATTCACGCTCATAGAAGGCTTTGTCGACACCCGAGAAGGATTCTATCATGCGATTTGTAACTTTGTCGAGTGTAGGTTTGACAACATCAGGCTGGACTCGTTAGTTTAACACTTTGAAAATATGCGCGCCACTTACAATCTGTGAATCTTCATCTTTGAAAGCATTGGCTTTCATGTTCCAAATAATTTGATGCGCAAAAAGTTGCGAGAACTTTGCAGTTTCGACAATATATCGCTCGACATATCCAAGGTCATCATAGCGCAAGGTTTGGACTATCTGCGGCACGTAAAAGAATGTGACATCAACAGAATGACTCTCCAACGCCCGCATAGCATACTGAACGATGAAGGGATGGTTTCGGTATGACGGTAAGAAATATGTAACAGCAGATATTGGGTTCACAGGAGCCCAATATAAAAGATACTAATTTTGTCAGCCTGTTGATAAGTAGTTCTTTCAAATCACGTACCTTCATTTGGAATGCAACATCAAATGGCAAAGTATCGCCAAGCAATATATGGACTGCTTCAGGCTCCGATATTGCTTTGTCGGGAAATTGAAGTAGAAGTAAGCGAACATCCTGGTGTAACCTCGCCGAGGGAAATCTAGAAACAAGTTGAATCGCCAAAGATGGGCTTTCGTTCCAGGCAGTTTTCACCAGAGGAAGTAGCGCTGCATCGTTAGGAACTTTAGCAGGAGCTGGAACCTGGATATCACGACCTTGACGTAAAGGATCAAGCCAAACATTCAATCTTATCTGTTCACTCTCTATTAATATATGGAGAAGCTCCTCCTTTGCTTGCATCAATTGAAGCATAGCTGTGGGCTTGGAGCCTGTCATGGTTACGCTTTTGAAAGCTAGAACGACATCATTCAACAAGCGAGTTTCGGCTTTCAATTGCAGACGGTTGCCACCAAATGACCAGCGAGGGGCAAATGTGAACCAACTAAGGGCAGCAGAGAGAATCTTGTCCTTTAATCTACATTTCGAGGGGAGATCAAGGGTAGTGGTGTGTCTCAGGACTCTTAAGCCGAACAGGACGATCTGAAATCTTATCTCTCGAGCAAGCGGGTGCCCAGTGGAGTGTTTCAAGCTATCCAGTGTCATTTCCAGGATTCTCAAAAATGTCTTCTCGGTATGTGGGCTGCCAAGGCGAGTCGCGTTGAAATGGCTGCTGAGGAGCTGTAGAAGTCGCGTATGGGGAGCGAGCATATTGTTGACAGCCTGTTGCTTTTTGGCCAGTACTTTCCTATCGCTAGGTGCGAACTCCTCCTTTATATAGAAAGGATCTTGATGGCTATCGATTGTTAGTTTGCAAGAACATGAATCCTTGAACGTACTTACATGAACATGCCATTGAAAATTCCAATTTTTCGATGTGAGGTCAATTCCCATTGTTGAGCGATTTCCATCAGAATCCTAGGTTCCATACTAGGATTTTCGTTGATAACGCCAAACCACAAAGATCCTCCAAGTTTAATCGACTGCTTGGTAAAAATAGCGAAAGGTATGGAAACAAGATAGCGGATGATAGCACATTCATCTTTGTCACTTCGGCAAAGCAAAGCAGCAGCTCTTCTCAGCACATCGCGGATCTCGTTAATTGCTATGTGTTTCTTTGCGTGAATTTGTGCTTCAAGTTTGGATAGAAGTGATACTGCATCGTTACAATCCTTGTCAGTCTTCGACGTGATCGAAGGTCTATGTTCGTCGAGATGCATGGAGCGCAGCCATTCAGCGTTGTGATCAGGAAGAGTTTCTGCATATCGGTACTCTTGCCTTGTAGTATATTGAGCAATGAAATCAGAGGCCGTATTGATATTGCACTCCCCGTGGCGATCGATTGCCTCAAGCCTTTGGTCCATACTTGGAATGACTGCTCCCATCTCTGAAGCAAACGACCGTCCGAGGGAGATATGACCATAAGCTCCTTCATCGTCATATTCTGAGAGGTATGTCTGAAGTAAACCCTTCACATTCGCAGGAGCAATATTAATCACTGCTGTGACCCAGCCTTTAGCCTTCCTGTATAAGGCATCAAGGGTGCGGCGACGGAGACCATAATCATCAGACAATTCGATAGTTATATGCCCTTTGGCGGAAGTGAATGAAGACCTCAACCCATATTCATCGGTTTCGGCTTCTAAACAACTTACCCACAGGAGTGACAAAAGTTCAAGAAGTGCAAACAAAGAGGATTTTTGACACAGAGCAGATGGCACATCTCGAATTATCCTGTCTGCGCAATTCATGGCAGCTTGCTGGACCCTTTCGATTCGATAGCAACAACCAGTAAATATTGAGGCTAGTTGTTTAGCAACGTACGGAGCTGAAAAGGTTGGGTTTAGGCCTGTCAAAGATTTGCGTAAATAAGTGTCCATAACAGCAGCTGTGACACTTTCCATCGTGCTGCTCATTTCACCTCTACGCATGCTAGGCTCAAGGAAGTAAGTTAACGCTTTGCTGCAATCGCCTGCATCAGCCCGTAGCGTTTCAACTAAATAGGCAGCTTGGAGGAAGATGACTTTACGATAAGTAAGAGCACCGATTTCTCTAGCTTTACTAGGAAGAAGGGCTGTGAGTCGTTTTTTCTGTGTAGTTTCGTGATCTTGACTGATTCCTCGGCGTAATACTGTATTTAATTCAATATCACTCTCCACCTGCTCACCTCGCTGCTCGGCAACAAGAGGTTTCGAATGGATCGCCAAGATACGTAATTCTTTCAGATGCAGCTGACCGCGCTCAGTGTTGGTAGTAAAGCCATGGACAACAATGTTGAACCAAGCATCCCGTACTAAAGATGACATCTCCTCGCTGAGGTCGTTGTTGGAAACCATATTATTAGTAGAAAAAAGATTGCCAAGGGCTGCAACAGTTGCGCAATCTCTTTGGCTGCAGCTTCTACGTCACCTTCGCGTGTATTCTGCCCTTGGTGAACATCTCCTCTGCTAATAATATCCTCTAGCAAGTTCTCAAAATATATGTCATACAAAGGGGCGTCTTTTTGCAGACGAGAAGATAGGAGGTTTCGCCCTTTCATCACCTAAATTGGATTAGTTGGTGTGGCTTTTGCAGTCTTTGTAGTGAACTTACAGCATGAAGTATAATTTCATTATTTTTCATGACACCCAGATGAGTGATTTTGCTATAAAGTTTGAGTAACGATCGGAATTCCAAAGGCCCTCCATGTAATGATAATTCTGCTGCCGCCGTGATAATACGAGCATCGATTAATTGGTTGATTTTGTCGATCTTTTGCAGAAGCATAGATTGAGCCAAAGCAATAATTTTAGAGTCTTGGCAATTCTGAGCAATAGCACATATAGCTTGTACGACGTTGCCATATACAGTAGATGTTTCCTCTTCTGTGAAGATCTCCAAGGATATGGAACTTCCATTAGAATTCTTTCCATAAAGAGTTGACTGTGCAGCTCCATCCAAAGCCAAATCTCCATTGGGTACAGAAGTATGTTTTTCTGGATGGGTTGCACCAGAGTTCAAAACATTTCCTAACGTATAAAGGGTAGTTATGATGGCATCCTGGGATAGATTATTCAGAACATATGCGAGACAGGCAGAGGCGATCGCGTTTGTATTCCCTTGCGGATTACCCTGGACGATGAATCGTGGGAGTAGGCGGCTGACTTCTGGAGCTAATTGAGGAGCGAGTTTGGAGACCAAGGCCATTGATCGAAGGACAACATTTGCCAATGTATCATCGGCCATTTGCACAGGATCCGCCAAAGTATCTTCAAGCCAGGACATCAATGTTTCAGGTTCAACTTCATCATCACTTACACTCAACATTGCGCAATTCATATAGGTAGTTAAAGCACTTGCTTTGACGGAAAATGCAAGTCTTTGCTGCCAAGCAGAACCCAAACGAAGGTAATCTGCGCCGTCTTCGAGAAGACTTATTTCATTCGAAGCAATATTTGCCAACGTGTTAACCGTCTCAAAATCAACTTCCTCATTACGAGGAGTGTTGGGTCTCGAATCCTCAAGACGTGACATTAATACGCTCAAAACATCTTTGTCTTTAAGGTTCTCGACATCAACAAGTAGAAGCGATGACCCTGCAACGAGCAGCCACATAAAACTCCGTTGTAGAAGCATAGCACCCAATGGGCGGCCAATAGCTGCATAATGGCGGACATATCTCTTCCACTCTCTTACGTGACTGCTCTGGAGATGGGTATTACGAATAGTCGAGAAAGCGGTCTCTACCGCCACCAAAAATCCTTCTGACAAAATAGCCTTGACACGTTCACATAAGTCCAATCTCTCCTTTGCGCTCCAGAAATTGACCAAAGAAGCTACTGCATCTAAGAATCCCAAAAGGGATATCGTTACAGTTGCAACGTGGATTGCTTCCTCAATCTCTGTAGCATACTCTGAGCTAACTCCTCGATTTTCCGTAGCAGTTTCGCTGGCATGTACACAGTTGTCTAGGTATATCGATAGCTTTTCGGAGATGAGCTTTTGTAGGTGGCCATGTTTGATACCAATGGAGAGAAGGGCGGTGGTAAGGTTGTAGCTCAGTGCCTCGACGGGTGATGGTTCAATCGCGCGAAAAAGGGGCGATTGCACAAACAATTGTGTATGCGCCTCAAGAACGTATGGGCCCAACTGACTGGTAAGCTTCTCCGCGCTGTATGTATTATCGATCAGAGGGGCTGCTCTACACAAAGCCAGAAGTACTTCAAATTCCCTAATGTTCTGCTCTAGGCATTAGTATCCTGTAGATAAGGAGACCTTCCCCTTTTCGTACCATAGGAGAGCCCGCCAACGAGCCCGGCGAATCATTGTTGCTTCCATTCACACGCCCAGATAACTTATTGTTACCAGGAGAAACACGACAGAGCCTCTCAATATCAGAACCCTCAAAATTTCCAGTTGATGACGTCGCAGAGAGTTCAGCGATTTTAGCCAGGGCATTTCGCCGTATGCTTCTTGGGAGACTTTAGATAAGAGTTTAGTGTTTGTAGATCTCGAAAAAAATAAAATCAAACAATATACCACACATACCTAGACATTTTTCTTCTTAAATAGCAATCAGCTATTCAGTCATGTTTACTGGCACCTAGGTAATTATCGTGAATAAATTGTTGTTACGGATATCTTCAATACCTAGGGATATAATAAAGTTGTTCCGATGTAGCTACCCCTGTCAGAAAGATTGGCGCTAGTTATCACCAGGCTGAAGGTCGACGCGACATCTAGAGTGATACCTTTGAACCTCAAATCTCAAACCTCCACAATATTTACCAAAGTCTCCCAAATACCTCTCCGCATTTCAACTTCAAAGATACCCGAATACGATAATCAAGATGTCCATGTTCAGTCAAAACCCATTGATGAATGGTCCAAATTACTCCTTCAATCAAGCTCCAACCAAGCAAGCTGATGGTTTCACACAACATCATGGTTTCTACCCGTATGTATTTTATGGGTGATTTACTGGCATTAAGACTAACATCATTATCAGATACACCGATAACGGTGGCTCTACTCTAGCAATCTCAGGTTCAGACTTCACCATCGTCGCCGGCGACACCCGTTCCACATCCGGATATAGCATTAATACAAGATACCAACCAAAAGTCTTCAAGATCGGCGGCACAACCGCTGCTCAAGACGATGCTACCCTCGTTCTCTCAGTCGTAGGATTTGCCGCAGATGGAGAAGCACTCAAGGAACGCCTCGATGCAATCGTCAAGATGTACCGCTACCAACACGGCAAGCCCATGAGTGTTAAAGCATGCGCTCAGCGATTAGCAACTATTTTATACAGCAAGCGATTCTTCCCATATTACGTTACCGCGATTCTCGGAGGTTTGGACGAGGAAGGAAAGGGAGCAGTTTACAGTTATGATCCTGTTGGAAGTTATGAGAGAGAACAGTGCAGAGCTGCAGGTGCTGCAGCCAGTCTGATCATGCCTTTCTTGGACAACCAGGTCAATTTCAAAAATCAATATATCCCAGGTAGTGGCGAAGGACATGCTTTGGCGGAAAGAGAAAAGATTCCATTGGCTAGAAATGAAGTGGAGGATTTGGTTAAGGATGCATTTGACAGTGCGGTGGAGAGACATATTGAGGTCGGTGATGGTTTACAGATGTTGATCATTACGAAAGAGGGCATTGAGGAGATTTATAAGCCATTGAAGAGGGATTAAAATGCTCTTGTACAGAGCGGTGATGCGAATTTGTATTACTAGCAAGGCATGTGCATCCTCGAGCAATTGCCTTTACGAAACCAGGTGTTACTTGAAACTCATGAACTTTGCCACTATGTCCAAATGAAGATGCATGCAGTTGTTTGATAAAATGTTTCCAACTCGGAATCACGCACACATATAGCAGAATCTTCAGTGAATAGACACAGGTCAAGTCGGAACAAATGAGCACACGCTTCTTTTCTAAGATTCTATTTTCTTTTGACTGGACTAGTAATACATGTTGACTCGAGGACTACTAACATATTTTTGGAGCACTGCAAAGCGATGCTTGATAATTTATAGTGGCACAAGTCTTGGTTTCGGACAGCAAAGCTCAAGTGAGCGAGACTCTCGAGAGCGGTGCTGAAACAATCTTGTTGAATTTGTTTCCGAAGGTGGGACCATGAGAATGCTCAAAGCTAAAGACTGTACTGACGGGGCTTGAATCATCCGACCAGATAGAGAGTATGTTGTAAATTTGTATATCTTCTTCTAGGATTCAAGCACTTGACCCGGTTGACGAGTTGTAACATTTTCAAAGTCTGTAGTATATGATTCAACCAGCATAAAATCGGGACCATTGGCAGAATCAAGCATGGCCAGAATCTGACCCCCTCCATCCCCTACAAGAATACCTTTAACACAAGGGTCAAAGAGGCATTCAATATCTGTTGCAGAATCGCCATAATAGGCCGCTTGATCATCGGTGTCAAGATCCCAATGTTGAAGCAATCTGTGCATTGCGTTTAGTTTCGTGTCCGATGTTGTTAATGGTGTCATAAACTCCCGATTATGAACGTGTAGGAAGTGATCAACGAGCTTTTGGGTACTGGGAAAGGGACCGTAATCGCAATCCGAGCAATTAGCTTGAGTAGTGGTGATTCCAGCCTCCCAACCCCATTCAGGACCCCTCAGAATTCCTGCTTCGTCTGGAGAATTCGCTACGATTGGTGCTTCGATGAAATATCCCAAATACTGCTCCAAAGCGCCCCTTATAAAGTCCTTTGAGAAACTAACCGAGACGACCCCCCAAACACCATTTCGTCTCTCAATCTCATCTATGATTTCCCTGAAGCCTTCTCTAATCACCAATTTTCCTTCCAAGACAGCGCGCCCACCAGCAGCTTCCCAAACTCCTTTGGATATGCCTGCAAACATACCTGATATACTAATGCGGTTGATGCTTCTAATCTCGAGTTCCTTCTGGCTTCTTTGACGCTCAATTATCCCCTCCAATGTATCCCATTTCGGCTCGTATCCCTCAATGTGAGCACTATACTCAGTGTCATACGTAGTAACGATTTCTTGCCACACTTGAGTGAAATCCTTCGCTTCGACAAGATGATAGGCAATAGCAGTGTCTGCGATGAGCTGGCTAGTGTCCTTCATGGTAATTGTGCAATCGAAGTCGAAGATGAAATGAGTAAATCTTTCGTCCCTCGGGTGTGTCGCACAAAGAACCGGAAGCGGTTCGGGCTTCATGATGTTTGGTATTCTTCTTTTGTGTAACAAACGATTAGAATCTTAACCAGAGGATATGAGAATGAGTGTCATGGGTTGAAAAGTCGAACGGGAGAAACCATGAGCAAAACAAGAACGGTGCAATTATAGTGACTTGATTTATTGACCACTTGATCGAACTTGCCAAATACAGTAGGCATTTTGTAGAGAGTCACTTCCCTGGAGGAAGAGGTCTATACGTCGAAGGCAGGTGATAAGCACATGATTATAGATAGATAGACATTTTCACGACTCGAATAGAAGCCGGAAACCAAGAGAAATACCTACATAGCAGGCCTGATGATCCTCAATGTTACAATTCTGATTTAGCAACTCAAACGTCTCTCTAATTTTAAGGCCTTGCACTAGAAACCAAAACAACAAATTATTAATGGCTTCTCGGGGCTGGTAATGGTGGGAGACTCTGCTACGAAGTTGCTAATATTACCACGTGACTACTCAGATATTAGCTATTTTTTAACAGCAGCGATGAGTTATAGCCCTGATTACTAAGCAACCGTCGAAAGCACCTCGACCACCCCCACCTACCCGAACTACCTACCACTTCTCATCGTTTGATCCAACAACACCAAGACATTGAATATGGAGATGTCTATTGAATTAACCATCCTACCGAATTCGAACTTTGCCATCATATCAGATGATTCTCATGATTATCATTCATAGAATGTTCTCACAAATTCCGGCGAGTTTCTAGCACCTTCTAGCATTTTCCAGCATATTCCAGTGATTGCTTCATGCTTCAATGGCCTGATGTCTCCTGATTTCTAACCCCGCATCTATTCTTTGTGATTCTATTTGCTCTCAAACATGGTAGTCGTCATTCTAGAAGATGCTGATGTTCAATTGAATATTGTCCATTACATCAACATCGTAAATTCTAGCAATTGCTAGAAAGTCCAGGAGTCCATCAAGTTCAATATATAAAGGTAGGCTCAATCTCTGAATAACCTCTTCTCTTTTTTCTTCATCAGTACAACAATCTTCAATACAGTTCCATGCAATCTTTTTATCGAACAACTTCAAGACTTCCAGTCGCAACAACTATCAAACGAATTCTCAAACCACAAACAACCACACGCAAAATGTCTTTCTTCCCACGACACTACATCACAAACGAGGCTTCCTCCTTCCATCCTCTCTTCCGTCTTCTTGACGACTTCGACCAATACAGCAGTGGCCGCAATGACACCAACTCTCGTCACCACCGTAGCAATGTCATGAAGACCTTCACCCCCAAATTCGATGTCAAGGAAGCTGGTGAAGTCTATGAACTCCATGGTGAACTTCCAGGTATCGAGCAGAAGGATGTCGAAATCGAATTCGTCGATGACCAAACCCTCACCATCCGTGGTCGTACCGAGCGCTCTTACACTTCCGGTACTCCACCAGCTGGTTTCGTCGAAGACGCACCCAAGTCTGGCGCCATCACTGAAGGTGGTGAAACCGAACACAAAGACAAAGTTCACCAACCAACCGTCGAAGATGAAGATGCGACAACTCCAGCCAGCACTGACGCCAACACCCAAATGACCAAGGCCAGCGAGGAGAGAAAGGCCAAGGAACCTGATCACAAGTTCTGGGTTTCTGAACGTAGCATCGGTGAATTCTCCCGATCTTTCAGCTTCCCAGTTCGCGTCAATCAAGATGCAGTTCAGGCTAGCATGAAGAACGGCATTCTTAGCATCATCGTTCCAAAGGCTAAGAAGCAAGAAGGCCGCAAGATCACCATTCAGTAAATCAATCACTTCTCTCGGTTTATCTGATCACTTCTACGATATTACGAATGCATTAATGGATGGAAGGAAGCGAGGAGTATTCTGGCACTGGCATTTTCTTAGCGATGGATTAATTATGGTGTTTTAAGGGAGGAAAGGGGAAGGAACTGGGGGTGATAATGGAAGATTTGCTTGCAGGAGGAAATTCATGGTACTTTGCTGCGAGTTTGACTTGCTCTTTATTTTGCTTTGTTTGCTAGCACTAATCCTATGTACTTACATAAAACATAATAAAAAAAGAGCACTTGATATCAAAATATATTATCTATCCATAGGCTTGTGGAATTTGAGAGTGAATTTGAGAGTGAATACCCATCTACCTGACTTGACTGCATCTCCTTTTAATACTACCTAAAATGCCAATAAAGAACAGTACCGGATTTGCGAGCCAGCCTTCACAGCTTTCATTCTACCACGAATCTGTTCGGGCTTTGTTTTTGACCCAACTTGAGTTCAGAAAACAGATTCAAGATTGATTTGTTCTAATATTTGCCACTGGCATCCTGTTAAGTACTTGGGCGAAATGAATTCATTATAAGTGATGTGTAACAGACCATTCCATCATGTTCATCTTTATTCACACATGAAAGCTCCCACTTTCTATATGTTCGATTATACTTACAGGCAGCCTGTCATTAAGTGATATTGACAGTCGAGAACCCTCGATCTACACTCTGATCACCATATGCCCATTTCGTTTCAGATGATTTCACTGCTTACCTACCCCTTTAAGACACATCCACTGAATCCACACTCCTTCATCTTGACAATGAGACATCTGATAGGATAAGCGAACCAAAACTTCCGTCACTTGCACAGTGCATATCTAAGACCTGACGCGAAAGCTTCATTTTAACCAACGTCTGAACTTCCATCCTGATAAACAAAATTAACGCTATCCATCCATGATTTGATGTCAATCACTCGAAACAATAAATATAAGTTCGACCTTGAAACTTCATGATGAAAAAAGTCATCTCGTAGATATTGCATCTGGTCCGTCCGGGTATAGTAATCGTAGCGGTCAAGGACCATTCAAATGATGGAATTGAGGATACCTACATGTACCTGGATTTTTCATATAAAAATAAATTGACAGACGAGGGCAAAACGGCCAAACAATTAATAAATTCCATAAAAGCCCTAATGAGATGTCGATCCCCAGAGCCTCGAAGGTGTGGGATAGGTATCATTGGTCGTTTACCTAGGGATTGAATCTTGACGATACCTTACTACTCCTAGAAATCCTACGGTATCCAATTGATCCTTCCGCAGAATGTATGATTCCAGACGTCTAAGAGATTGCTTGGCTGGGGGAGAAACAACGTTCACTCCCACACTGCCATGCCGTGCCCAGCCATGTTATCGCGATTGTCATGAACATATCGGTGAACTAACTACCATGATCCAGGAACCATTTGAGAAACAATATGGGGTTTAATCTTAAGTTGCTGCAGGGGCCCGCATGAAATACCACCGATAGCCCTGCAAGAACCCGTCCACCTGTCAATTTTGATTTGTCTAGATTTCTGGAATATCAATATTTGAACATTTTAGAATTCGCTTTTCGTCACGATCGTTCGTGGCCTTCATGAGTTTTCTTCATGCTGTGCGACGGATTCGTATGATGAACGGTAAATTGTGACTAGTGAATCTATTAACGGCTACTATTGTAGTGACTATGCTTTTAGTAGCACGGTAGCATCTATGTATAGAAATATTAGTTGTTCATCTTGTTGCTAATTCAAGTTACATATGACGTTTTTCCAATTTCTCAAATCGCTGTCTAACATTCACCAATGATAGATTGTATTTGGCTTCACCAATTTCATGATTCTAATGAGAATCTTGAAAGCAAACACAGGTATTCCTTGTATGCTCCAACCTTGACAGGCCTGAGTGGAGCTTCGATTCTTCGACGATTAGATGAATTTATATTTTCTATGTGGACATCGTACCAAAACATGTAAACCATACAATTTTCTGCCACAAGCGATACATCCATGCCGCCACACCAGTGTTACAATCATACCACAGACGATATCGACCCCAAAAGGTTCAATCTATCGCCGAGTACAAAAAGAGTAGTAACCTATTGGTTAGTTGATAGTGAATCAAGATTCGATAGCATGGGCACATGGGGGCGTACGGCAGGAACAACAAGGAGATTTGCCATGGAACTGTGATAGATTGCAGCCCCAATCGTATCAACGAATCGCCTCATTCCCGTGAATTCTTCCTAATTCCTTATTCAAATTGTGGAAGAAATGAGAATTGGAGACGGTAGAACTTGTCAATCTCCGCTTAGTGGGTCGGGGAGATTTACTTTGTGGGTCGACAGGGGAATCGTTATCAAAGGGGGGAATAACCCGGGATATCACCTTTGATGGCCTTTATACCTGACAATTAGACGCGTGTATATATGACGCTGCCGTTCGTCTTCAGTTTACCTTTTTCTTTTCTTCTGTATCCATCGATCAGTTACACTCATTTACAATATAGTAATCACACACTCATTTAAAAAAACAATCAACCTCTTCAAAATCCAAACACTTCCAAACCAGAACCCAAACCAAAAAACTTCAATCTATCAAAATGCAGTTCAACATCCTCGCCCTTACCGTTGCCGCCATGGCCTCCGTCGCAGTTGCCACTGAGTAAGTTTTTTCGACTTCGAAAATTTAGATCGAACTTCAATACTAACGATATCCATAGGACTGTCACCGTCTACGCTTGCCCAAGCTCTACTGGTCTCTCCGGATCTGCTGCCACCGCTGGTGCCTCCTCTGGAGAATCTTCCGGCATCACCTCCGGTTCCACTGGATCTTCCTCCGGTGAATCTTCCGGCCTCACCTCCGGCTCCAACCCATCTGGTGTTGCTGCCGCTAGCGGTGTTGCTGCCCCAACTGCCTCCTCCGGTGTCGTTTCCTCCCCATCTGGAACCAGCTCCCCAATTGCTTACGCTACTGGTGCTGCTGGCCACATCCAAGTCTCCGCTTTCGGAATGGTTGTTGCTGGTGCCGTTGCTCTTGTATGTTTTCCATCCACAATCTCTCATCTCTATCTCGAAACTAATTCATAACTAGCTCATCTAAATTTCTTAATTGAGCATCGAAAGGCGTCCGGATCATTAACGATGGCGTCTTCAATTTCTTTCGATAATTTGGCCTAACGACATACCTTTTTCTTTCGTGACCCAGCGACGATATACCCTGACGTGTGATCTACACTTGTGACGCAAGTTAGATGGCTGATTTGGTTCAATTACGGAGCTGCTGGATTTTTGCAGAGGATGTGGATGATGCTTTGACATCGACTTCTCTTGTACATATGATACTTCATTGCAAGCATATTAAATTAACAAGACTGCGTCGATCTCTTGAGCTGTGAATACTACAAATTAATAATAAAATAATCTTTCGATTCATTGTGAACTTCATTTGATGTGTCTTGAATTCACTGTTTGCAGTCCCATAGTTGAGGTGATTTTTTCCCAGCTTGGCGTCTAGGGATCTTCGAAGTCCCGGCGATCATCCACAATGTCCTTGCACATTCGTTTCAAATATACACAGCGACACTCTACTTGGAGCTCTCTGACATCAAAATATAATAGGCTGAAGCAACCCACAACTTTCATACGGGCACTATGTACCTACTCACATCATAACCTCGACCAAACACATCCGCAACATGCCATCGTTCCAAACAAATAACAGCAATTAATATGGATATGCCAAAGGATTCACACTAAATCGAAGACAATAGATGCGGGAGTACTATTCTCCATGAATATTTATAGCTTCCTAACATGATTCATAAGCATACCTGTATAAATTTGCCTTACCTAGATAGTCTCCAGTCCGTTACGTTAATCGCTCTACCTTCAGGACCAACACAGCTCTCATCCGCTGCAACCAGTCTCCTGAGGTTTAGAGAATCCCATCCCATCAAGCAACATCGTAAGTACTGTGAGGTCTTCTGATCATTCATCATTCCCGCTGTCCAATCTGCTATCCACGTAACATGGTCTGTAGCTGCCTTGTCGTGGAAATAAAACATGAACCTACTGCTTTCTCTGCTATCTACCCTTACGATGTCATCAGTCATGAATCAGCACGTTTGTAGTAAATTGTTGTATTCAATTTACGTAGAAAACATTTATCCATGTATATCATATCGCCTGTAGGTACATATGGAAAGGGTTAGGAAAAGAATAGGGGAGGAAATGAAGTTAGCAAATTTCCCTGCACGGTCACTGCCAAACCCCAGCCAAAAAACCCCTAGCGAGCCTCGCCCAAAATTCCCATCTCCAAAGCTAAGCTTCCTCATGCACATGTAAATCAAAGCAAAATATCTCCATCTCCTTTTCCACCATACCACACACCACACCACCAAAATGGCACAACCACTCCCCCGATTCTCGCGTCGATTTCTTCAACAATCTTCGCCCTTCCAATCTCTCCCACGAACACGCAGTTTCCGTCCTCAATTCCATGCGAATGTCAAATCTACAAGAGGTTACTCAACAGGAGGACCTAGTAAAAGTCCATTGAAGATCTGGCCTTTTGTTGCTATTACATTGGTGGGAAGTGGTGCTTATGCATTGATGGTTAGGAGTAGAGCTGGCACTGGTATGTTATGTATTCTCCTTGCTATTGGTTATGGATGATTGGGGTGAATGCGATTGGAAGATTGGATGGGGACAACACATGGGATTCATTCTCTTGATTGAATGGATTCGAGGGCCGCTTTAAGTTTCGTTGATGGGCTGATGGTCATACTCAAAAACCACTTCATCTCATGCATTTGCTCATTGTCCATCCATCTATCCACCCATCTACCAGAAATAACTTTTCCCTTTCACACTACTTCCCGTTCCATACTCAGCACAAACTCATCTCTAACATTACAAACCACCAGACATGGCCCCTCCAACCCCCCAACTCTCTTCTCCCCCAAAACCAACCCCAACCTTCTCTCCCGAAAAAGTAACCATCCTCTTCGTTCTCGGCGGTCCAGGAGCCGGAAAAGGTACTCAATGCGCCAATCTCGTCCGGGACTACAACTTTACCCATCTCTCCGCTGGGGATCTATTACGAGCCGAGCAAGAGCGTCCCGGCTCTGAATTCGGAGAAATGATTAAAGATTACATCAAGAACGGTCTTATAGTCCCCATGGAAGTCACAGTTCAATTGCTCGAAAACGCCATGACGGAAGTCATTTCCAAATCCCCCACTGGAACTGGGAAGTTCTTGATTGATGGATTTCCACGCAAATTAGATCAGGCTCATAAATTCGAAGATACGGTTTGTAAAGGAAGATATGTGTTGTTCTACGATTGCCCCGAGGCGGAAATGCAAAGGAGATTGATGGAGAGGGGGAAGACTAGTGGCAGAACAGATGACAATGCTGAGAGCATTCAGAAGCGATTCAAGGTTTTCATAGAGACAAGTATGCCGGTTGTGGATTATTTTGATAAGCAGGGCAGAGTCATCAAACTCAATGCTACAAAGACCCCAGAGGGAGTTTACGAGGAGACCAGGAAGAAGTTGGAGGAGAAGTTGGGAAAGACATTCTGAGAGGGGTCGAGGACACATGTTTTTGGGAGTGATGGGCATGGAAATGGATATAGGTAGATTGCATAGGAGGGAGTTTGATAGATACACGGGAGCAGGCAGGGAGGGAATAATCCGGAATATAGATCAGGAAAGTAAAAAATACCTCATACAGAGTATGAAAAGAGGCATACAGCGACAAATAACAAACATATAATACGAATCTGGGATTGACATCCTTCATTCTCATTGAGATCCCATACTTGTAGAAATCATAAACATCAGGCATGTTCAAATGTACATCTCATTCGATATTTAGATTTCTATTCTTAATCTTGTTTTCACTTCACTCCCTTTTCATGGCTTCATATCGTGGCTTCATCGTGAACATGAAAATAATGGATGTTCTCCTACACCATTACCAGATGCTAATGCAAACCATTGCCTTGCCACTGTACAAACATCTAAGAACGCCGACGAAACGAGGAACCTTTTTTTGAGACCAATCCATGAATTAATAACAACTTTCATGAGTTGATGTCCTAATCAGTACCCATCTCTACCATGTTATCACTTCTTCGTCCAGCTCTCATCCCCTGTGTACCAGAAACCTTCTTATCGGCCTCTTGGATTTCTTTCTCCTTTTGAGTTTCAGCAGCTTGTCTCTCCCTGCTAATGACCTCCTTTACACCCCTCAAGCTCTCCTTCCATTGATCCAACCTCGTGGCAACCTCACGCCATTGCTTCTCTCCAAATACACGGTATGTGGTTCTGTGAATAAGGAAAACTTGCTTCTGTTGTGATAATTTGCCCTCAACCAAACCAGCTCTGATAACATCGATAACCCACATCTCAACATCTTCGGGTGCGACTTGCAACGCTTTGGAAATGCGCTTGTATTCAAGTTCGCGGGTATGGGTAGAGGCGGCCAAACTAGCCAAGGTTAGGAGTCGCATCTTACGGTGCAACTTGCTGTTGTCCAAGTTCTCTTTCTCGACGAAACCATCGTGCTCGTCTTGGAAATCATTGTAGTCCTCAAGTTCCTTTTCGGCGAAAATTTCAAGGAGTTCAGAGTAGATTGCGTGGGAATCGCTCAAGGCTTGAACGGCGGGAAGGGAAGTAAGATCGTGGAAATCGAAATGGGTGCTGGAGAGAATTGCGGTTCTTAATGCTTTAATGGCGAGTTTCTGGGCCGATTCGGAAGCAATGGCTTTCTCATCTTTGCCGTCGAAAGTTCGGAGAGCTTTGAGAATATATTGGTATGATTCCCTAAACGTAGTAAGATTAGTAAAATATACTCGAGTCACTAAGATTGACTTCAAACGTACTCCTCCTCGCCGGAATCATCTGCCACTTCTGCGATCATTTCAAAAAGTTTTCTTTGCTCCTCCTCCTCAATCTGCCATTCAACAATCCAGGTGTCCAATTTCTTCAACTGTGGTCGCAACATTTCGTAGTTTCCACTGTTCTTAATAAGCTTAAGAACAGCTTGGAAGACATTAAATCTGGTCTCATTATCTGGTTGTAAAAGGTTGAAGATAGTTGTCAAAACATTCAGCGCGAGGCCTGGTCCATTCAAAGGTGATGAAGTAATTGGTTTTGCGAGGTTGTCGCAAATTCTGGGCAGATACATGTTGACATTTGGAGACTGGTTGCAGAGATAGACCAATAGGTTGTATGCGGCAGTAAATTCTTTCTCTGGGGATGAGTTCAACTTTTCCGAAGCAGTGACGAGTTTCTTTAAAGCTTCATCCTTTTGTTTTGCTGCAAGGAGGGGTTGAACTTCTGGGCCGATTTCAAGGTATTCGGCCAGCTCTTGTGCCAAATCCTCGAAAGTGCCATCGATGAAGACTTGCTGCGTCGCGGGCGCCATATTTGCAGAAATGATCGAAATGTGGTTGAGGCGGGGAGGTTGGGGTCTTCGATGGGGTAAAAATTACGATTCTTGAAGTTGTCGGTATCAAAATGTTCTCTTCTCTTGTGGGATGCGCTAACCGAGGGGCTAGTACGGCGATATTTTTACGACGCATATCGGTATCAGTACGAACAAATGTCAATGAGAACTTGGAAGGGACAAAGAATGAACAATCATGAGATTGTACAAGATTGAGATAGGTATAAAGAGAAGAGTGAGCTGTTACAATTTTCATATGTATGCCTACTATTTGCTGCCATGTTCATTCTCATTCCGTAGCCTAGTGGCAAGGATATGAGCGAAATTCTAAGAAGCTGCTTGAAATACCCAAATCATTAATTAATTTCCAAAATTATAATGAAAAGATTTCAAGTCTTCTTACCCATTTAAGATACGATTCAGATATTGAGGGAATTGTACTTCGTGAGAAGAATCGTCCATAAGTCCAAAGTTCAAAGCTCAAAGCCAATTCAAAAATTGCAGAGAATCCAAGTGGGCTCCATCAATGGCTTCCGGTGAGCTTTGTTCCTGGTGATCTTTAGGGGAATCTTATTGTGTGAGACAGCTTTCGAATGGACTTCTACGTTGTTTCCTCTTCCCAATGAAGACAATAATCCAAGGTCTTGTTGGTTTTGCATTCGTAACCCTTTGTTAAATCGTACAGCACGGGCATGTGCTTATGCTTCATGTCGGCGAAATCGAGCATGCCGGATTTGTAGCAGAAATTCTTCAGTAATTCGTCTGGATCTTTAAACGAGTATTGAACATTTTTCTTTCCAACTCTGCCATATCTTTCACGCCCAATATGCTACTTTCTCTGACAGAGGTGTTGGTGCCTCTTGGTGCTATCGTAAAAGCCATTGACAAATACCGATGTTACAACGCCTGCACATATCTTCAGAAACTGATATTTGAGCGTATCACCAACCCTGTCTTTTCCTTGATCGATATTGCATCTCAGCATCATGCCCACACTGTTGTGCCCACCGACGCGTATAAACTCCAGTCTCTATGAATACTTTACTCAGAAAAATTAGACTATCGATACTCCATCAAGCCTGGGAGTAAACGTGCTAACTACCTATGCATACATTGTTTAGGGAGTGGTCGAAATTCAAACTTTCCGTTTAACTTCTTTCGTGCACTTCTACGCAGATATTAGTGACCCTGATTTATCTAGCCGAATGTTTCTTTGCAAAATTTTACGGAGATGTGAGATACTTGGTGCGTGGAGGACCCGTTCCTAGTCATTCCTTATTGTACATACCCAATGATAGAATCAGGTGAGTGCAAGGATATTTATACAAAGTGGGTTGTAAGCTAGTTAACAGGAACATGAGAGAAGTAATTAAAATATCTATTTGTCACCCAGGTTCCCTATCAGCATCTGAAAGTGCTTTTCTCTCTTTCTGGAAATTCATTTGAAACTAACCACTAGTCATTTGTTTCCACTTTCTTCAGTTAGAGATGTCTTTCCTACTCAATAGTTCATATCAATGATTCCAAGTGGTATCAAACCTCATCAAAAGCGTTGACTGCGGAAAGGTCTCATTGAGAAATATGTGATAAGGGTCTATTGAGTTTTCTCAATCTCAATATTTTCGTTTAAGAGGGGCTTATGTCAGGTAACTAGAGGTGGGTTTTATGTTTATCTTTCTCTGCAAGGTGTACTTGGAGTTATCTCCAAATAGCATCTCCAACATGTATTTTGTGATGATTTATTTCCAAATGAACAACAAAGAGTTATTAGAGTAAGTAAGGTTGCGGTTCTATTGGAATTTTTCAGCTGCCAAATGCTTAATGATGTCACTCCAAAGAAGAAAATGTATAAGCTAAGAACAATCGCTGCGCTTTTTCTCTCGTCGCCAATATAACACGTATTACACCTTATAACCAATCGAAATGACTATGCGCGCTTATGCGGCTCTTTTATGCGCTGCTTCAGCATCACACAATCCCGGAAGTTGAATAATTCGTGCGAAGACTATGCATTTCGACCATACATGCACTAAGCATCACAACTACCCCATTGACAGTAAATAGAGCGAGGCTCCTTTCATGGGCCAAACTGTTGCTGACAATTCACGGGATAGCATTGCTTACTGCGCTGTATTATCGTGCTGTTGGAGAAATCTATCTTGCTGCTCTGTTGTCCAAAGTTTGTGCCGAGACCCTCGTATCAGGTGGAAGCAAGAATACAGGAACAGTTCCGTATCATGTGCCCATCTCTCCCGCGCTATGAATTAGGTATCTCGACTGAAACTTAAGGTGTTCAGAATATTCTTATAGAAATCAGATTTGATGGCAATGTTATATTGAGCACAAGAATACGACTTCAGGATCCGTGCTCTCCCGAGGTCCCAGAGCATGTTTTCCTAGGCGAGGTTGCTACGCTGCATATCTCACCCAAATCGAAGTGATCTCGCCCAAAAGCCTACTGTTAGCCAAAGATCCAGCCTTTTCTCCCCGTACACTTATGGAGGTCATGCGAAAAGGTCTGATTGTCTGGCGCTCGGTCAGTCCTGGGTGAACATCCAAGATCTTGCAATGGTTTGCAAATATATTTGGGGCACGAGAAACATCCTCTGCCTACAACAAACTCGCTGGTTCCCTTCAACAACCCTTGATAATGTTGCTGCGAATGTCAGCCGCTTTAAACTGAATGCTTCGTATTCGCTGAAATCATGGAATTCAAGTTCAGTTTGCCGCGTATGATTGACTTGTAAGACGATTACAATAACGGAATTGACAATTTATATATGGGCGGATCAGATTTTGCCTAAGCATTTGAAGACCATGGCCTATTATAAGATCCCGGTAAGATAGTAAGGAATGATCGTCGGTGGTAGCGCTTCACGTCTTCTCTCAGTCCTGAGCGATAAGATAAGGTTTAGTGCGCTTAGGATCTCCGCGGCACTTGTTCTGATGCTATTGCATGTCTTTCAAGGAGTGAGGACTGGAAGAAACAGATCTTCGCTTCTGATTCTCAAGGATATGAAAGTCTTCGGGGCCTTTTGGGGAAAGAAGGGAAGGTCATTGTTGATACATAAAACCGAGTGGACATAGTTGCTATGATATAGTTTTAGGTTTCAATGGAAGTCAATAAATGCTTGTGTGAAATTATGATGCGCAGCAAGGTTTTTCAGTCGAAGGATGATCACTAGATAGCAGAGATTATATCAATATACATGTATTTTCAGGTAATCAAGATGAATATTCGATGTTGTGGACTTACGATGTTCATGTATTTCATAGCAAGAATTCCGGAGAGCTAAGATAGGGTCGGTTATAGGCGGCGTCTACTGCCGCTTGGAGATTGCAGGTGTAGGAAGGGGACAAGTGGGGATGCCGGACTTGGACTATGGTTTTTCTCAGTCCCACTGACAAAGAGTTGCCGATGGAATTCATTATTCTCCCGAACATTCTCAACTTGTGGATGAAAACAGCGTTTGGTTTTCTTCATAGTCGATGATACGACGCGACGCTGATGTCGATCTTTGTAGCTTGTTCGTTGGGCGTGGGGGGTCGGGTATAGATGCGTAAGACATTGAAGAGTGCCTGGATGCAATTATGCTTCCATATTTATCCAATGAACTTGTCATACGTCCATAAACGGATATTGATATACCCAAAACATGAGATTTACCAAGAACCAGATAAGCCTTCATTTATTATTTGGATCGTGATGCTTTTCAATCTTATTTGGGGTGGTCAAGATCGAGGATTTCAGGATCTGAATTTTGGTGGTGGGGTGAACTGTTGCGTGGCGAATTTCTGCAAAACCCGGATCATCGAGCTTGGAAACTATTTACCACAGAAAAGGAGCTCCAAGAGCACCACATGGATATCTCTGCTGCTGCTACGAAGTCTGATTGTGGGGTTCATATCTTACCCGAATACATTTAAATTGTCGAGCTTTCAAGTTCTGGAAACCCGCAAACCCTGATGGTATCCTAAGGATTGCCGGCATATTGAGGCTTCATGCTTGTCTCCAGAGCTGTCGCATTGTGTTGAATTGATGCTGTGTTTCACAGCTGTTTGCGAGATTATGGGACTTTAATAGCCAGAAGCCAAACCTTTTGCCGGTGCGACCAAGCAAGCCTTGCAGTCACAGACTGTGCAATATTCATTTGCAGTGCATAAAGTATGTTCTACTGCGATGTGGCTTTTGTGCACCCACGCAAAGATGATTCACCGACTTCACGGGAAGTGGCTCTCAAGAACATATGACTAGAAGGAGAGTAATTAACGCCATCGGCGAAGGTGGGTCTCCTCCAAACAAAAAACAATCATGGGGGGGCCGAGGCCCAGCGACAAGAACCATGGGTGCGACGGGAAAGATCCTGTCCAATGCCTTCGACGGAGAAGGCATACTCGGCCATGCACTTCATAGCAGATGTGACAAGCCCAATGTGTGATAAATGACAAGTAGACTAGACTCGGAGTTGTACATCTTTGGGAACCACCGAATCTTTTCTAGGTTGAAGACCATGTTCACCTCCTCGATCTGTTAGACTCACTGCTGGCGTATCCCCCAACAAGCTACGCCAACTTGGCAATCGAAGCTAGATCGTGCATGGGTGTCTTATAAGAGCTCTGCCAAAAGGATATTCAGTCGGGTATCAGTGAGAGAACCAATCATATATGCAATGGCAGTTGCACTAGCCCAGTATAACACAGTCATGCGTGTTGGTAAAAGGTAAATTGTAAGAACCAATATACGATGTTTATCATGAGCCATCAAAGGAAACAGTAGAGGAGCCAGCGTTATAGGCGGCAAACATCGAGTTGTCCAGGGACTGGGAACGCACGATCTAGAACATGATTCTTATGCAGTGTGACGATCAGAGAGCTAAACAGTTATGCTCTTTCTATAAATTGCGCAATCACTCACACCGTAAATTTAGCACTCAAGAAGGTGCTAATTGAGATCTTCAAAGATACCTAGCATCCTGGGAGATGGGGGAATTTAGATATAAAATGGGCATTCTTTTGCTGTGCTTTTCTCTACTTAAGTATCGACTGGGTATAATTGCGGATATCTAGAGGGTTAGCACATGAAATGTACACATTTCCAAGACATACTTGTTAGAGACGCTAAGGTGAGCTGTCCCCTGGAACCTTATATCGATCAAACCTCAAGCAAACCCTTAAAATGGAGTACTCGGTTACTTTCTGGTGATGCAATAGAGTTACTTGATACTTGGTGTCTGCTTCCTCTACTCTACCGTCACTGAACGATGAATTCTTTTGACAGCAAGCTTTAGTTTGTCGTCAGTGGTCAATGATCAATGGGCAACACCGACATCAATCATTAGCGTGTGCAACTGAAGCTCTTCTAGCCCTCAGGAGCGACACCGAGTGAGAAACCTCAAGACTAACAAGCTACCCTGACCTGGTCAGGGTTTAGCCATCCGTCAAACCTGACCTCCCTCTCTTGAGGGAAAGCACGGCACCTCCAATGCTTGATAGAATGTTGATATCTGGTCTGTTAAAGCAGCATTGGGTGGCAAGGACTGTTTCGTCGGCAATATTTTGCTTTTCTCTGTTCGGGCAACGGCTCCTCTATAAATGTTACAACGTAGGATGATTGTGCATGTTCCCAAGTACGACGGAGGTAAGCGGAAGTCACAATGAAAGTCTTCATGAGGTCCTATGGTGATCGTTTACTTGATAAGGCTGGCGCACTGTTGATCATTACCATACAAAAAGAGTTGTGTCTCAGCCCCAGTGTGGCGTAAGTGACCATGATATTGGTAGCACCTAGGTATGTTCCAAGGTGATGAACCTTCTACCTAGCTCAAGCCTCGGTATTATTGATGGATAAGTTACGAGAAGACACACTTATCATGCTGGTGATGTGATGAGCTATTTTCAGAAACATCAACATGCCAATTACGTATAGGATGAAACCTGGCATCGTTGATGAATGTCTTCAGTCTTCAATTAGTTATAACCTAGGTATTACACGTTTCGCACAACTTATGTAGTTAGTTTCCATGGAAAAATGATGTTCGGGGAGAATACCGGCAGAATTGCATCCCACCCAATATCCATACACCCGAAAGCCATCCAATGACTGTATCGGAGTTGCGCCATTCGCTTCGGAGACCGGGCCCCTTACCGAAAAGTTACTTTTCCAATCATGGTTTTGGACTTCAATCCTTCTTTTTCTTCCCCACAATGACGATTCAGGGTCCATTTCCTTGGATCGATAACAAAAAGGGCAACTTTTCGATACTCAAGGCGAGACATCATCTCCAGTCTCAACCCCTCCTCCCACACAAGCAAGACCGAATTGTATGCTTTTGATGATTTGCAGATAGACATCCTCAAGGATTGTTATCTAATAAAGTTTAAAAAGGTAAAAATCAGTCGATAATTACTGCTTTTCATCAAAGGGATGATATCAGCCGTTAGCATTCATTGATATCCTTGAATAAATCTATTTCTAGTTCCGTCCATCTTCATCATATTCCGCACACTTGCATTTACCGTTCAACAACCTGATATTTGAAATAGCAGCAACTATTAGGTAAGCCATTAAAAAAACTAGATGCTTAGGCACCGGTACTTGTGTAGTGTCTTAATAATTTGTATGATGACAGAAATTTTAACACGCGGCTGTGGGTAGACGGATGAAGGGGCTTGAGTCTTGACACGCTTAATAAAGTGAAGAAGCGGACATTAAGTCCAAATTTGTTAAATTTTCACGTCGGAAAGAGATGAACCTGTAGATTTAATTGGTCAAAAAAGCCAAAAACTCAAATCCAAGTCATTTGAATTTTTTTTTAAAATTGGACGCCATTCACAGGCTATTTCATAGTGATAATGCCTAGCATTTAGTCGTCCGTCGTCCGTCCTCCCCTCCATCCGTTCGGGGCTTTTGTTGTGATCGCAAAAGGTAGAGCAAAAGAAAGTACGTTCTCTATGAATCTGGTACTATCAACCAATCGTAACTATGGGTTTTGAGATCAAACAGGGCTATGACCTCAACTGATAACTTCTGTTCATCCGCAGAGTAGTGGAATAACCTGATGTAGCTTACTCACTCTGCTTTAGTACGTTTCGTGAGCTAATGATTCTTTTTCCTCGCACGAGCAATGATTTCATTTGATTTTGTCGGTGGCTTTATACTCGTTCCATGCATCAAGCCACAACAAACTTTACCTACTTTTGTTGGATCTCCATACAGGTATTTCGTACCAGCCCAGAAAGCAGACACGGGGTCCGCACATCATTACTCAAGATATTTTTCGAGGATGGATCAAGACATATAAAATTATATTGATATGATTGTTGAAGATCTTTTCAAAAGAAAGAAAAAAGCCCCCAAAATTATCAATAATAATACCTGTAGTGTCTAAACAGTATACCACGATGCCGGGTAGTACTTGTATACCTCAGTATCTAAGTTTGAAGCATTGTCTATCTATCTAACTACTGAGACCTTCGCAGAAACTCCCGTTTGCATCAATATCCAATCAGTCTATTCGCCACTTCTTCTAATAGCCGTGTTAACCTTACCAAGGTACACGCAAGTCTCCATCCTCAAGGGTTCTCCCGTACAGTAGAGCGAAGTGGTGGTAGGCGAAGAACTCCTAGGCAGAATAAGCTGCGTTCCTTCCCTTTTACAGTTTAGTCCATCATACTCGCTCGAGCTATGGAATTCTACAAATCCCATGAAATTTTTACCATTTTTTAAAGCGGCCTTCAAGCTCAACAATCAATTTCCCATCAAGGGTATCAGGTCAACTCCACCACAATAAGATGTTCGATTCTCCTTCCTTCTCTGCCCTAGATTTGGCTACCTGGACACTGGTCCCATGCCCAAAAACATTGCTCTACCATGCATGGTTACAATCTAGAAAGCTAAAGCCAACACTATTTTGTCGTTATAACTTTAGATGGGTTTGTAAACGACGTTGTGGCTTATAAATAATGTTTTTTCTTTCTCATGAGCAGACTTTACCGAATATACTTAGTGATTTCGGTCTTCGTACTTTCTAGATTTCCTACCCGACAGTAGAGAGGGTCAATATCTACTTAGTACACGGGTGATATTTGCCTCCCTACATGTTCCTGACGATCTCTACCCTTTCTTCTGAAGCTCAAAGGCCTACATCAAGACGAGACCACCGCCACCAAAACCGTTCCGACCCCCTTCATACCCCGCGTGGCCTTCGATTTCCGGCCGATAGACCGTCAACTTGAGATTAGACCTTATCTTTACAAATCTTTAGCGCTGCCTCATTCTATATTTTGTTCGTAACTCATTCAACAATTCTTCGATATTCTACAGCTTCGACAAAGACATTCTGACAGGAAAGCAATCCACATACATATATTTCAACTGTTTGGAATCTTGGCATCGGGATAATTTCAAAGGTTCTCTGTGCTACATTGCTTGTCCTTGTTGATCAACTGCATCCAAACATCCCGCCATTTTTCTATGCCCTTCCTCACCCTGGGTTTGGACAGCTGCTTTAACTTCTATCAACCTCTACCGAACGAGCCACGATTAGACCCTTGTTTTTGCCTCCTCCACACAATCTGATCAGCTTCCCATCGTGTAATTTCGAAGTACTGCCACACTCGCTACAAACTTTATATCGACTCTTACCACCCCGTGTTCTAATTGGCCTCGAACTCAAAGCTCTCTTCTGGACACTGTGTTATACTATCTTTTATTGTAATTGAGCTTTCCGCATCGACTCCTCATTCACCAACAAGTCACAACAACTTGCTATTTTGTTCATTCACTACACTTACATTGCACACTTGCCGCATACTTCAGTGGGTGATTGGCACGTGGAATCCTTCTGACTCCTTGTCAATACTGACTTTGCATAGATCGGGGTTATCGTCAGAGCAATCAACCATAAATCCATGGGAGACTCATCAGTTGTCGGGTCCAGATCAAACGATGGCGGATTCCCAGATACTTCACAAGTTCTAAGACAAGATGCTGCGCAGAATCCAGGAACGGAGTCTCAACAGGATAGCTCAAGGAAAGCTTCGAACAGACCCTCGCAGTTGACCAGCACTCCATCGAACTATGCCCCGAACTTGGCATATTCTCAACATCCCATGTCGCATGCAACGCCGGAATCTTTCAACATGACAACACTTAGTGTTACGCTTCCAGATATGTCTTACCAGAACTATGGCCAACGATTTCCACAAAGCCCCGGCGCTCCACTACCTTTTATGTATCAGACGCAGTTCGCAAATCAAGGCATCTTAAGTCCTCCGCCCACCGCTTCATCATATAGTACCCCATACCAGACGCAATATGGAGGTTATGCGTCCAATCAGCAAATGCACCAACAGCACATGCATATGGCAGCCACCAACCATCAGTTCTATGTCGGTCAAGGATATATGGGACAACCGCATCAACAACCGCAACAATACCAAGCAGGGTCGCAATATTACATACAGCCTGGTAGCTATGGACAGCAAGGCCAGATTTATACAGGAAATCAAATGGGAGTGCAACATCCACAGCGCGGTAGTTTCTCTGGGGAAAATAGACCTATGTCACAACACCGTAATGATTTATTCGTTAATGTGACGGGTCAGGTCGGGAAGTCGAATAGCGTCGGTAAGCTCTAAGCTTCTTAAAATGGCCTTTGAAACCCAATACTAAGCAAAACATAGTCTCTAGTCCAACACAATCATCCGTCGTCAGAGGACCTCCACGAAAGCCCCGTCAAAGTGGTATGTTTAATCTGATTCCTGGCTCGAATTTTACTTAAAAAGGGTTCCTAAAACTAATGAATTTGCGCTAGGACACGCGATCGTGAGCACAATTACTTTTTTTCATTCCACATACCACATCGAAATCTATATACCCATTCTCATGTATTCCATCGGCTCCGTATTAAGCTTTAAACTTCTTAGTTGAATTAAGAAGACCTTCTTGATTGACAATGACTAACCTTTCTATACTTAGTGGATCGGCAATTTGCCACCCCAGACAGATCTCATGAGCCTCGTCCTTCACGTTTGCAAAGAGACTGTTGGCCTTGAGTCACTATTTTTGATATCCAAGAGCAATTGCGCTTTTGCAAATTTCAAGGATGAGGCTGCATGTGTCGCGGCGCAACTCAAGATTCATGATTCGAGATTTCAAACCGTACGACTGGTCAGTCGTTTACGGAAAGCATCCGTTGGGACTGTCGGAGGTGTTTCTGTTCCAACAGGCCCAGCAGCTTTGACACTTCCACAGTCATCACCAATCCCATCGATTGATTCGGAAAATGAAAAGGTTTCAAAAGCAGCCGATGAAAAGGCACAGGACCCAGACAGGGATTCTCCACCTCTCACAAAGGATAAATTCTTCGTGGTCAAAAGTCTTACGGTTGAGGATCTAGAACTAAGCGTACGAAATGGGATTTGGGCAACTCAGACACACAACGAAGAAGCTTTGAATAAGGCATACCAGGTAATTTTACTCCGAACTTCAGCCGAGACATTCTAACATAATGCGACAGGCAGCAGATAATGTCTATCTCATATTTTCAGCGAATAAATCAGGCGAATATTTTGGGTACGCACGCATGATCTCACCCATCAACGAGGACCCAGCAGCAGCCATTGAATTTGCGCCCAAGGCCCAGGCGATCGAGGATCCCGATCTTCCCAAAGCAATCTCAACGCCAGCATCTGAATTTGCACCCAAAGGACGCATTATCGATGATTCAGCTCGCGGAACAATTTTCTGGGAAGTCGAGCACGACGATTCTGAAGACGTAGAGGAAGATGATAGATCCCAAAGTGGCAAGAGCGATGTGGAAGGCGATGCGCCGTCAAAGGCCTGGGGTAAACCCTTCAAGCTTGAATGGATATCGACGACTCGATTGCCGTTCTATCGTACACGCGGGCTTCGTAACCCGTGGAATTCAAATCGCGAAGTGAAGATCGCGAGGGATGGGACTGAGTTGGAAACGAGTATTGGAAAGAGATTGGTGGGGCTTTTTCATAGGGTTCCAAGTCCTGTTGTGCCCAGTTTGCCTCAGATGCAGGGAATGCCAATGCCGATGCCGGTGCCCGTTCAAATGATGCCTCCGGGTGGGTATCAACAGATGCGTTCTTATAATTAAGATGAGAAGGGACGTTGGTGTGGGTATCAATCAGATTGGGTGTGGAAAATGATGTGGAAAAGTCTCTTCAAATTTTGTGTTCATTTTTCGTGTTGGCTCGGGCGCCCTGCCCTTCTTCTTTCATTGTATGCATGCATGCTGGACAACGCACGTTAACATTCTCTTTTGATATGGAATCTTTTGGATCGATGCGAATCACGCGATGCAGACGACCTACGAGTCACGATTATCACAAAAGCACAACATTAATATTGAGGTTAATCTTCAGGAAGAGTCGGATTGCTTGGCGGAGCGTCACATGAGTATTGAGCGAGCGAGCGAGCGAGTCTTGCGATCATGATTTTGATTTCGTCTCTTTGCGATTTTGTGGCATGTCTGTGTACATACATGTAGCCATGTTGTATTTGCCATGTCTTGTGTAGTTATTATCTAGAAACCCCCCAAACATTTCACTGTACATTCATTCAATATGCGATATTCCTCGTTCAACTTCTCAAATCTTTACTTCAGTTGTTTACCTATATTTATTCATTCATTCCCAAAACTCTCTTCTCCAAAACATTACCCGAGGAAGTTTCTTCGGTAGAAAAGGAAAAAATATGTCGAAATTTGCCACCCTATACTACCTAGGTATCCATAGACAATATCATCCATGCACCCAAGAATCTTCCCCGCCAAGTTGCAATACCTCCGGCATTTCGCCAAAGTCAAACTCAAAATCAAGCACAATGACAAAGACGTAAAGATCAGACCATTTTTCAGAAAGCTTATAATTATGAACGGAATATACCGATGAGATAAACAAAAAGCACAAACTTTATCGAATAAGAAGGACGTGAGGGGCGCTCCCCCTTAAGAATTTTTTCGCTCGCTTATTTTACACATTAGTATCGAGATGCTTCATAGCTGTATGAATGACTCGTAAATCATAGTCAGCTGTCAGTTTAAATTCAAAATGTAGATAACGAATGTGGCGAATTTCTTTTATCAAATATATTGCGACGGAGAATAAGATGTGGCTGTGATTCTGTATACCTGGGAGGGGAAGGGATTTGCAATTTGTGAGATTTGAGAGGGCATGTAGGTACACGCATGTGATCACTAGGTATGGGTGTGCGAATTGTGAGTGGCGATTGCTGGTGATTGTAGAACCACACTGAAGAAGGGCGTACAATTGTGTAGCATGAACGGTGCGATACATCACATGCAAAAGTGATTAATCAAGGTGTCTCAAGGGTGTATATAGGCTAAGTTATATACGTTGTGGTATAGTGTGTTATTTTGATATATCTTAATTGATCTGGATTGACATATTTGTGTCATCGAGATCTGAACTATCGCCAAGATTTCCAGTGATTTGGTATCTATAACTAAAGCTTACTGAGTAAATAATATCACGTAAATTACATGCGAGAGGACACCCACACGGGATGGATTTGGGTTGGAGAAGAATAGGCTATTAGGAAATACACTCACCTCATAGATGTCCTTTCTACCAAAAAGCCATAAATTCGGAGCCATGAAATGGAGTGACAGTTGAGAAGTCTTTTCTAGAGCAGTCATTTCGCGAGACACTTTATCGAACCACGAGTGAAAGTACTTCAGCATTCCGATTAAGAACAGCATATGTTTGCGGAAAACCAACAAACTCTTTGGATCGAAGAAGCGGGAGGTGTTGATGCAAGATTGACATTTGCTCGCTTGGGAGTTGATCGATGTACTACTTCCTGACTGAATTTTCGACCGTTCTCTAGGTTTTTCTGTGAAGTCCTTCTTCTAGGGACTCATTTTGTACTGATTCGATATTTGTAGATACGATCCCATGGAGACGACCAACATATGCACTGCGGGAAAGTCAGCTGTACGTTCTAGGACTCAATTACTTTGAATTTTTATGTTACCTTTTACTACTTGATCTAAGTATGTGATTATAATTTGGATGTTTTTAATGAAGTCAAAATAAACTATATCAAGAGCTCATTTGCCATGTAATGAATGAATTCAATCGCTTGTTTGGAGGACGTCTTTGCCTTCAGTGATCACAACCATTATATCTGCTATACATGCTTCTGCGAGACTTCAATCCGACATACCGAAAAACATTTTTCGATGCTATTACCATTACAAGAATTACGGGCCGAGAAAAATCTATGTGTACAGGAGTCCAGGTGAGGAAGGACCGAGTTCTGTCTCCGAGTGAGCATGCTATCATCGCAGATAGTACGAAGAAGATATGATAGATATCCGACAGAAAGAATCTGGAACTGCATGAACAGCCCAATTTTCCACTAAAGCTTTTCGTACTATTACACAATAATAAATAATGAATGCCGTGCGTGTTGCTTCAAAATAGTATCGAGGATCTATAGCTCCAAACGTAATCTCAACGATGACACACGCTTCCACTCATTCAATCCCATCTTCCTCTTTATCCGTTCATCGCACATCGGCTCTCACGAATGATTTGCCAAACTCGCTCTGCTAAGTAAGATGATCATCCCGGGAGCCTAACAGCTGCGAGATAGCTCGGGGGTTCTCATTCATTGTCTTTTACTCGCCTTTCCCGAAAAAATTCCATCCTGCTTGTCCCCCTCTCTACGCACATCTTTCATCATACCACATTCACTTATTTATTTACTATCCACTAAACCCTCGCTCTTCCCTACTATCGAAACCTGTAGAGAGCGGATTTTGGCATGATCCCCGGATCTTTATCTCATTGGGTGCGACATCAAGCTATCCCTTGATTCTTAATATTGGCTAGCTTAAGGAATAACTCAAAGACTGCAGTATACAATAGTACACTTCATTGCCGAAGGCGTCATGGATCTACTCTCGATGGTTCGTGCTGTACCCGTCAAAACATCATCATCAATCCACGTCAAATGCTCAAATTCAGAATCTTTGCTGCTACCACCATCATAGTTCACTGTGATATCCAACATTCGAAAGTAAAGCGAGTATGCATCCCAAACCAATGGAGCTGACATGGCTAAATTTGCAACCTGAATAACGCTGGGACGTTAGTCGAGAAAGCGTATGGATTTGTTGCTCCTCCACGACTTTCATATAACGGTCGTGGGGTGTAGATATGATCATTACTGCTTTCACCGAGACGACCGAGAAAAACGCTTGACAGTGGTTTGCTTGGATTTTCAGGAAATGCGGTATGATCTTCAAGCCACACGTTTTGTAACATGGCTTACCAACACAGTGGATTCGGTGAGCATTGAGTCTATCCTCAAGTCAAACTTCTCGGATGAGGCCCGAATGCTAGTGTATCCAAACAAAGGTGTCAAATTAATCATTTTATGGCATATTCTTCCAGGGCATGACGTATCCCTGATGAGAGATGCCATTTTTACACAAGGGGCACATCATGGAAGCACCTCCGAAACGCGTGGTACTCAGTGTTCCCACTCAATATCCCTAGGCAGATCGAAGAAGACACCGAGCATATTAAACATGTACCAAAAAATCATTGACTCACAGCCATTATTTGACCGGCCTACTTTGACTTCCACCATACCTTCTGTTTGGCTGATCAACGGATACATTGCAGGATGCAATCGCAACCTAAAAAGCTCCGAAGCTGGATTTTCGGAAGCACTCCGTATGCGTTAGGACTACCTCTTTCGCCGAAGTCGTATAGACAATTCATGTTCGTTGATTAATGGCAAAGAATCCCGTGAGAAGGACTCAGTTTTGATCCATCGACGGAGCGATCCAAAGGGCTTTCTTTAGACCCAAAAGACATAGCTAGTAATTCTCATAGCTTTCTGGGCATTCTGATTTAAGAAACGCAAGATCTCCAACTTGCGGAGCAGTTATGAAATATCATGATAGCTGGTAGGCATGAAATAGCATGTACCCTTCCATAGAATTCGCATGTTCGCCCGCGGTCATTGATGACATTGGTGTCGAGGATAAATCTCAAAGTCGTCTTCTAGAGCAGCATCCCAAGGCACTTTAAAGCTATGAGGAGATACATTCTACCGTTGTAGTGGCAATTAAGTTGAGGCCTCCGGATAGAAATGATTTAAAGAGGATGAAATATTTGAATTCTATTATGAAAGAACGTTCCCAACGTCGTCATTCAGCCGAATGTAGCCCTTCAATTACATCCTATCATTCCCACCAATTCACGGACAGCTCTTGGAGTAATCATATTAATAGTAAGAGGGATAAGATCGGACCAAGCCCATCGTGGTTTGAAAAGACTTTTTCAGGGCATAGGTTATGCATCACTTGCCTAAAGGAATGTCATGGAGATGTTGCGATTTTGACGCTCGCCAGTACAGATGGATGCAGAATTGCAGCAACACTTGAGGGTTTGTGAGTCTGAACGGTTTTCATTCATATGACAATACAATGGGCAACTCCCTTCCAGAGATTGTACAATAGCCTACCTTAGACTACTATGAGCATAATCGGAAAATCAATAACTTAACAGTATTCATTGGAAATTTCCAGAATCTGTGATCTCTTTAGGACCCAAAGTCAGCAATCCGTTACCGCAGTAGTGATAAATCGAAAAATAAATAAACTTGTGCAGGATACCACTATATACACACCTAGTACACGAAATGCAAGGCTGATCGGGCTCTAGATGCACACCCTGCGGAATGCTAATTATAATTATTTAACTTTGAAGGATTAAAATGGAAATGAAAGCGTACAAGAATAAGAGAGCAAAGTTAGGTATTCCTGAACAAGACATAACATGGCACACGTAGGTAAATACTTCTTGAACAAGTCATAAGTTCATACATCTGAGATAGCGACGTGCAACACCATCCCTTCCATACCTACGTATCTAGTGTGTATTATACATATCGTATATCTACGACTGTAACCACACGATAACAAGCTTGAACTGCAAAACGACCAAGATGAGTGATGTTCGTAGGTTTAGTTCTACACAGGTTCATGAGTGATGGCGGATCAGAATTGAGATAATAAAGATGCACTCGAATGAAATTGCTTGGTACATTCATTCATCGAACATGAAAAGGGCTAGAGATGGGTTGAAGATATAACGATAACGGGATCAAGTCGCGTCTTATGTCACTCAAGCCATGTAGCTCGTGCTAACTTTGTGCTTCATGGGCTTGTATGAACAATCTGCGATGATCACTCTCTCGATATCGATAAGATAGAGACCACTTGCATGGCGCATCATATCATGGTAACTGCGTGGTGTACGGCATCTTGTGTGTCGACAGCAGTCAAATACCAGATAGTCAACCTCCATCCAGATCATACATATCAATTTCAAATGTTATGACATCAGGCGTACTTCAATAATCTTCTTGACCGCAAGCAACCATTCATCACTTATCCTTCCATCATGACAAGGCAGTGCGTCAAATCAAAAATACAAATTTACAAAGATTGGAATGTATGGCCAATCATTGCGACCCTTCCTATAGTGAAAAAGGAAGCGCCGCACCCAAGATCGATCAATTTCTCTCCATTTCGACTGACGATTCTCAAGGTCGTGGAAACCTCACATCACCACGAATGATGACGGGTTTCTCACCGAAAATGCTTTATAGCGAATGTGATGTATGCGTTGTACTTCCGAAGAAGTTTGTGAAGAAGAAAAAGAGAAAATTTGGGAAGTTTCTGAAGCTTTTTATGTTCAATTTTTTTCATTCGCTTAATCATCCATGATCCAAGCCATTTCGGGATTAGGGTCAATCACCCCACCACTCAACCCGCGAAATGGGACAAGCCTGACAAAAAAACTTATTGACTGACCTGTTGCCCCGCGTTGAATTCTAATTTGTAACAAACTTCATCGTTTGATTCAAAATCTCCCGATTTCTATTTATTTAAAGTACGTGATAAAGTGATCAATTCAATCTCGTTTTTCTTCAATCTGAATCAATTACTTTTTTTGCTCACACACATTCTTGCAGCAAAGCACAATGTCTGCCCAAAAGACTGGTCAGTTAGTCTTATGCCATTCAAATATAGAAGGGAAGATCGTGATTAATAGAACCTCCTTGACTGACATGATCCAATAGCTATCATCTCTGTCTATGACAAGAAGGGGCTTCTTGATTTGGCCAAGGGATTGATCAAGCAGAATGTTCGTCTTCTTGCTTCCGGTGGAACCTCTAAAATGATTAGAGAGTCTGGTTTCCCAGTTGAGTAAGACGTTTTCCCTTACATTTTGAACTTTTCCATTCTTGAAAACCTTATCACCAATGCAACACAATATCATTTACATCTCTAACGTGTACAATTAGAGATGTTTCCGCAATCACTCATGCCCCAGAGATGTTGGGTGGTAGAGTCAAGACACTCCATCCATCAGTTCACGCCGGTATCCTTGCTCGCGACCTTGCATCTGACGAAAAAGATCTCGCAGAGCAAAATATCGACAAAGTAGACTACGTCATCTGCAACCTTTACCCTTTCAAGGAGACAATCAACAAGATTAACGTTACAATCCCTGAGGCTGTCGAGGATATTGACATTGGAGGAGTTACTTTGATCAGAGCTGCTGCCAAAAACCACACTCGTGTCACAATCTTGACCGACCCAGGAGATTATCCAGAATTCTTGGAAGAACTCGAGAAGGGTGATGTCACAGAGCGTAGCAGAAAGTTGTATGCGTTGAAGGCATTTGAACATACTGCGGATTATGACGCTTCCATCTCGGATTATTTCCGTAAGCAATATGCTGGAGAGGGTGTACAACAACTTGCTTTGAGATATGGTGCCAACCCACACCAGAAGCCTGCTCAAGCCTACGTCAGTGAGGGACCTATGCCATTCAAGGTTCTTTGTGGCTCCCCAGGATATGTCAATCTTTTAGACGCTCTTAATGCATGGCCTTTAGTTAAGGAGCTCAAGGCCGCCCTTGGTCATCCAGCAGCGGCCAGTTTCAAGCACGTCTCACCCGCAGGTGCTGCCATTGGTGTTCCTCTCACAGCTGATGAGCGTAAAGTCTACATGGTCGATGACATTGCTGGTTTGGAGAATTCTCCTTTGGCTCAGGCATACGCACGTGCTAGAGGTGCAGACCGAATGAGCAGTTTCGGAGATATGATTGCATTGAGTGATATTGTTGACGTCCCAACTGCCAAGATTATATCAAGAGAAGTTTCAGATGGTGTTATCGCTCCAGGCTACGAGGATGCTGCCCTTGAGATCTTAAGAAAAAAGAAGGGTGGTAAGTACCTTGTCCTTCAAATGGACCCTGACTTCACACCACCTACACAAGAGACAAGAACCGTTTATGGTATCAATTTGAGCCAACGCCGTAACGATATCGTCATTTCTCCCAAGTCATTCTCTTCCATCATCACACCAAAAGAGTCCGCCCCTCTTTCCGACTCAGCTGTCCGAGACTTGACAGTGGCTACTATCGCATTGAAATACACCCAAAGTAACTCTGTCTGCTACGCTCTAAATGGTCAAGTCATTGGCTTGGGAGCTGGTCAACAATCTCGCATTCACTGCACCAGACTTGCCGGAGACAAGGCCGATAACTGGTGGTTGAGGTTTCATCCACGTGTTTTGGGTATCAAGTTCAAGACTGGTACCAAGCGCCCTGACAAGAGCAATGCAATTGATCTCCTCGTCAGTGGTGAATTGCCAAAATCTGGCCCAGAGCGTGAAGGATACGAAGGGTTTTTTGAAGAGGTCCCTGCCGAGTTCACCGAAAAGGAGAGAGAAGAATGGATGTCGAAACTCACTCAAGTTGCAGTTTCCAGTGACGCATTTGTAAGTTTACGTTATTTCTATCCTCTCATTTTATACACTACTAATAAGACTAGTTCCCATTCATCGACAATGTCTACCGTGCTGCAAGATCAGGTGTTAAGTACATTGCTGCACCAAGTGGCAGTCAGAATGATTCATATGTCTTTGAAACTGCTGAAAAGCTTGACATCACATTTGTCGAGCAAAGCATTCGTTTGTTCCACCACTAAAATGTTTATTCCGTAAGGTTCGGGATAGCGAGCGGATATTGCAAGGTGGGAAACCTTGCTTCAACCCATTTGAGGGGAAAATTCTAGAGATACCCTACCATAGAAACGACCCACAGGGCGTAACGTGATATGAAAATTCAACATTTGTGACTATTTTTCAATTGAGCTTTCAGGCACATTTCTTTTTGCTAGCATGTCCATGGAGCACATATGTGTAGTATAATCCACGTGCATAATCAGAGTAAGACAAATTCATCGAATTCTTGCGACTTCTTGAAACGTAGGATTGGGCAGGAAATGATAAGACCGTTCTTGTCGACCCATCGGCCCAGACATGCAGCCATGACTTTCAACTGGAAACATGAATCTGCAACATGCAAAGGACTTTTTTTTAGAACATTATTATATCA